GTGGGTGGGTTGCGCAGCGTCACGGACTTCCACACTTGCAACTTCAACGTTTGCAGCAAGGGGTCAGCCTCCGCCGCGGTAGACACGCAATCGTTGCAGTGATTGCAAGTCATGCGTTACCGGATGGGCAGCTTGTACACCTCATTTCAAATTTGTCGGCGGAGATGCCTTCCAGATTCTAGAGTCTGGAGCTTGCTAGTTCACCACCAAGACTGGAAGCGAGCGCCCTGCATGTTTTACCATGCCTGTCTTGCAAGCTCTTTGTCAATCTCTGCAGAGCGGCCCTGTTTTTACTCGTTTCGAAAGCTGATGGGGTGTGAGTTGAAGCTTGCGGAGACCTTGGCCTGCCAAACACAAATGCACTAAGCTCAGGCAATACCCAAGTTCAAGGGCACGTTGCCCACCAAAGCAAACAGTTTCTAGGCTTTCGAACCGGTTCCTTCGTGGCCAAGGTTTGGACATATCCCTCGCGAAGAAGCTGGGCTCTCAGCAACACGCGGTGCGGGAATGCTGCGAAGGTTGAGCGGTTTACGTCCGAAACCTTAGATCTTGTTGTTGCATGGTTGAACTTGATTGGGTTCTGTCTGACATGCCATCACATGCTGGCTGACAGAGTGCGGGCATGGACAGTCAGACACATGGCGGTGCTTTAGAATCGAGGTGCCCGATTTGGAAGGTGTGAGGTAATGTGGGGGCTCGTGGTCGTTTTCAGATCGAGTGAGGTTGGGGGACAAGGTAGCTGTTTACACTTGAGGGTCCAGGTTTTGGTTGCGAACAAATGGCATAGTTTGCACGATACAGAATCTTATGGCATGCTGCGTGCACCTCAAACCTCAAAGCTCAAGGAGTAGATGCACCCGACTGGTTTGGCATGATTCTGTGTGAGGTTGAGAAGTTCGTGCTTGGTGATGCCTCGTAGTTGAAAATGTTTTTCGGAGACATGGGAATGTTCTGCAAGTCAAGAGCCTGCAAAAACCCCAAGCTTGTAAACCTGAGATCCAAGGTTTGGGCGGAAAAGGACGGGAACTTAAGCCCCAAAGCCGCTAAACTCCGAGAGCCCGTCGTCCATGCCCCGGCAAGGAATGAGGCTTTGTTACGCATGGCAGCAGAGAAGGTTGGTTGGGAGGCCCCGTTTCAGAGGGCCTCGGGCTTTGGGTTTCGTAGAGGTTTGCGTTTCCGGCGATGGGTTTCGGGTTTCAGTTTCATGCTGCAAGATTGAGGTTTTGGGTTTTGGAGCATTGGGCGAGCCCATGGATGCTGGGACTGGTATGGGGCTGCTGCTGCTAGGACTTTGGACCTCCAGAGCACCGTGTAACGACCCCTGAGAGGCCTCAAACCTTAAAGGATAGGAAGCTTCTAAAGCACCCCAAACATCCTTGAAGGACCCTGTCTAAATCCTGAACCCTAAACCCCTTAGCCCTAAGCCCCTACCCCCCCTTAAGCCCTGCCTGAACCCTAACACCACAAACCCTAAAACCATAAGCTCCTAAACCCCTAACCTTTCTTTGAAGGCGGTGCGTGGTGGCTCCAAGAGCCGCATTGCTTGGGTCCTCCAGAAAGAGGCAGGGCTTTCGGGGATTCAGGGATTTTTAAATGTCTGTGTATATATATATATATACACACATACAAACATACATACATACATACATACATACCCACCTATGTATGTACGTACTTACACATGTATGTATGTATGTATGTACGTATGTATGTATGTATGTATGTTTGTTTGTTTGTTTGTATGTGTATGTAGAAGCAGCTGCAGTCCATGCACTTTCAAAGTGCGTGCACAGTCGTACGGCCGTGAATGTGTTGTGGTTTATGCTCGGTCACAGTGCCGGGCGCCGACACAGGCCCCATGTTTCAAGCATGCAACAGACCATTCGGGATCTGAGCGGACAGACAAGACCAGTGTATGTGTATGTGTATGTTTATGTGTATGTGTATGTGTGTATGTGTACGCATGCTTATGTATGTGTATGTATGCATGCCCAACAAACTGCGGTAAGGGGAACGAACACGTCACCAAAGCACATCCAGGACATTGCTCTGGGCCTGCGCACTCTCGGGTCCAGCCAGTGGCTTTCGCATCTGCCCGGGATGCAGGAGGCCAGCCTATGCGACATGATATGGGAGGGCATAGGCAATGACCACTCTCCAAAACCTACTTAAAAGCCCACCAAACCCCGTAAACGTGAAATCGAAATGGTGCAGGCTTTACACCCTTCAGCCCAAAACGCATAAACCCTGAAAGGCCTGAAGCCCCGTACCAACATTTGCCCATACACAAGCTGAGACATGGGTTCAGAGTTTCTGCGTGTTTTGGTTGCTTTGGTAATTCTTACCATGGTTGGACCAAGGTTCTTGAAAGGGTTTAAAGGTCAAGCGTTCTTTCAAGGGTTCTTGCAAGGTTCACAAACGGCTTCTGGACCTCAGGGATAAGGGCTCATTTTAGGTATTGGTCTACTGCTGGATGTTCCGTAGCAATAAACTTCGAATCCGCGACGAGGTACTGGTATTGAAGGGGTATTTGGTTTTCTGGGTTTGTTGTGGTCGGTTAGGGGTTTGGGGTTCCTTGTGCAGGAGAAGAGAGAACCCTAACACCCTAAACCCCAAACTGCCCAAACTCCTGAACCTCAGGGTTCGGCTGAAGAGCTTCCGGTCTTGCGTTGAGGTTTGGATTTAGGGTTTAGGGTTTAGGGGGGTTTAGGTTTGGGCTTTAGGGGGCTTTAGGTTTAGGGTTTGGGGGGGTTCAGGGTTTAGGGTTGCTGTTTAGGGTCCGGCCCTGCCGATGGATCTATTTCTCGCAACTGTCGCTGATGCAGGGGCCTTGAATAATTGGAACAGGCTTTTGTGACAGCAAATCATACTAAACCCTAAACCCTAAACCCTAAACCCTAAACCCTACACCCTAAACCCTAAACCGTTAAAACGGACCTAAGGGGGAATAACCAAAGAGCACAGGGGGCCCTGGTAGTTAGGACACGGGTTTTGGGGTACATGAGATCATATTCTTTTGGAGCCCTACAAGGAATAGTATCGGGAGCTATGTGGGTGGTCGTCAAAATTGTGGTCCCTTTTGGGGTCCCCAATATAGTACGGCACCTCATATTTAGGGTACCCAAAAAGGGACCCTAATTTTGACAACTACCCATGTATATATGAGGTTACATGATGTGATACCATGGGATACCCACCTTGAATCCGAAGCCCCATCCTGCAGTCGTCCTCCAGACCTGGCGACTTTCATAAAGCCTTAAACCCTAAACCCTAAGTTTAGGGTTTAGGTAAACCTATAATAAAGCTGGCTTTGTTGTGGTTGGTGGTTTTGGGGGTTTAGGGTTTGACAGCAACTCTCCTGTACACAGTCACAACTGGTCCCGCTGCAACTTTACCAACATAGGATCAACTCTTGTAGGGCTCAGGGTCTAAATGGGTGCTTGAAACAAAGAACGCACGGAAAACGGATGCGACGACGGCAACGACAGAACAGTGAAACCAAAGCCCTAAACCCTGAAAGCCCTAAACCCTAAACCTTGAACCCTAAAGCCCCTGAAGCCCTAAACCCCCAAACCCTAAGCCCTAAAGCCCTAAACCCCTAAACCCCCAAGCCCTAAACCCGAAAGCCCTAAACCCTAAACCCTGAGCCCTGAAGGTCTGCGGCAAAAAGATGCTGGGAGCTGCGCTGAAGGCTCCCAGGGCTACAATGTCCGAGATTAGGGTTTAGGGTTTAGGGTTTAGGGTTTAGGGCTAGCCCCCGCAACGTTAAACAGCAATGATGTATTAAACAATGCTTACAGTATTGATAATGATAATGTACTAGGATGCCCAGTAGTACCCTTATTCCCTTTTTGTAGTTCTAGGTTCCTTATAAAGTTACCCAATACCAAAAAGAGAGGCCTTTTTATTCTTAGGTTACTGGGTATCCTAGTGAAACTAATGGCAATAATGGTCTTGTTAACAGCAAAGTGTCCCTAAATGGGTAGTTCTTTGAATTAGTGTCCCTGAAATAGTATGTCACGGCACTCTTGTGAAAATGACTCTGAAAGGAATTTAGAGAACTATCGTGAATCCCAGACCCGAAACCCTAAATCCTACAAGCCAACCCCTAAACCCTACACGCCTAGAAGCTAAACCCAAAAGCTGAAATCTCAAGATCTGAAACCTAAACCGGTGAGTGCGAGAAAACTGGCCCGCACCGAGGCGCCCCCCGAACGCGTGATTTCAACAATACTTGCAGTTGGGAAGGGGAAAACACCTATGCAATGTAGGAGCCTGATAAAGAAACCCTGGTCCCATAATCCCCCTGCCCCCCAATACTAGCATCCTGTACGAAATATGGGACCCAAATATATTGCCCTAAATAGTACGATCCTTATTACAAGAACCGCAAAATAAGGTACCACCAAGTTTCGGAAACTCTAAACCCTAAACCCTTTATAGAACCCTTATAGATCCCTTTAAGGAGCCCTTAAAGGATCCCTTTAAAGGTACCACTAATTCTCGGAAGCTCGCATATAAAGAGCCCGAGTGTGTTTCTTGATCACGTTCTTATATTTACCAGTGTGTAAATGTGAGTTTCCGAAAATCAGGGGTACCTTACTTTGGGTTCCTTATAATAAGGATCCTATTATTTGGGGTACTATACTAGGGCCCCCTATTCTCGGAAACTCCCAAATGGGGGATAAAGAATTGAGCATCCCAGGGCCTGGTTTTATTGAGAAACCTAAGTCTCGAGTCTCGAGCTCGGGGTTCACGGCCCCTTAACTCCAGTCGCGTAGCTACTAAAGCAGAAGCCAGAAAGTTGGAACACCATTCCCCTCATGGCCCTAAGATAAAGTATAGGGAATCCCGGCGAAAGAAGACTAAATCCATGTTCCAACTTGGGGGGGTCGCTATCATAGCATGCCCTTATAGTATACCCTTATAGGTCCTGTGTAGATAAAGTGCTGTAGACACGCGAGTTGTGCAACTTGCGAGCAAAATCCTCCCATCGTGTTCTTATGCTGGATAATATACCTAGTCTCACCATTAAGTCTCCCCACCTTCTTACAACTACTCCGCCGCTAGAAGAATATCCACATCCCCGTGCTTGCAAAGGGAGATGCGACTTGCTTTGAAGGGGCGGAGCGTTTCGAGGTCTCATGTTCAGGCACTTGGGTGGTTGTCAAAATTAGGGTCCCTTCTTGGGTCCTTATTATAATACGGCACCTATTATTTAGGGTACCCAAGAAGGGACCCTAATTTTGACAGCTACCCACATGTACATCGTCCTAGAGACCAGGACCGGGAGCGGCAGTACCACGAGCTAGTTAAAGGGAACTCCAGAAAGTTGGAATATGGTTTCAGGGTAGGATACCTTATAATTTACAAAAGAAGGGCTAGGATAATCATATTCCAACTTTCTGGCTTTTACTGTAGGTTTCCAGCATTGAAGTTAGGTTGTAGAGTTTGTATTCTCTACGGACTCCTGGGGATTAGCCCGGGTTTAGCTCGGGTAGCTGCCAGCCCCAGGCATAATCACCCAACGCCCCCAGCCTTAAAGTCCCAAAGACTTAGGGGTTTAGGGTTTAGATTTTAGTGTTTAGGGTTTAGATTTTAGTGTTTAGGGTTTAGTTTTGAGGGTTTAGGGTTTAGCTTTTAGGGTTTAGGGTTTAGTTTTTAGGGTTTAGGGTTTTGGTTTTTAGGGTTTAGAGTTTTGGGCCCTAAACCCCAAATGCTACTTGATTTTTGGCTTCTTCTGTGCAGCAGCTCCTTTCCAGAATCGTTTTGACGAGACGCTTATTCTGTGGCTCAGCTAGAGGACGAAGGGCTTTCCCCAGACTGGAGACCACTGACCTAACACAGGGGTCGGAATATCTGTGATATTATTCCTTCATAACCCCTATGACCTAATGGAAATATAAAATATACAATTAAGATACCTCCCCGAAACCCTTTCTCACTATTAGGGACCTCACATCATATCCCCGCCTTGTCGTAAGGCCAGCAGTCAGAGTTTTTCTGAGGAGGTAAGGTGACTCTCCTTCGCAAGACTGTGCAAACATGTCGAGTGCGGAATTCCTGCTCGATGACCCCATTAATCATGCTCGGTTGATGGGCTTGGATGTTGAGGACGTCTTGGTGAGGACTTTGCATTCAGCATGCCCGATACAAGCACAAATCCGCAGGACTTCGATGTGTGCAAAAGACTGCCGTGGGCCAGGGCTTTCCCAACCCTGATTCTCGATGACAGCGATTCCTTCCACTACAGCACGCCCGAGCTGCTTGGGAAAGGATGCCCTGACAATGCAACCTTGGCTGCGTTCCGGAAAGAAAGGGGAGCCGTTCTTGCAGATATTGAGAACGAGCGGCTGGTCATGCAACTGATCAGAAGCAAAGTCTTCCCGTCGGTGGTTGTCTCTGGCGATGTACACCGATCAGAACAGAATTTCAAGAACTCTATCCTGCTTATATACGGGGTTTCTCAGGGCGGCGACTCTCCTTTGCTGGCCTCCTGCTAAAGCCACCTGTCAGGGCCGGCGTTAAGCGCCGTGAGTCCTGCCGGGTGCTAAAAAATCTGTGCGTGTGACTCGGGGTCAGACTTTTGTCTGGCGCCGTGCTAAAGTTTTCCGTATTGAAAACTCGCAGCATATGAGGCCACTGCGGTTGTATCTGGATGTATATAGTATGCACATGCTCGAAGCCAAGAGCCGTTGAGCCTCTTTCCTGCCGCTCCTTCGATCTTTCGTTGATGCGGGTGGGATCCTTGTAGTGCAGAATGTGGCTAGCTGGTTCACGTACATGGAAGCCTTCGCGGATGAAATCATATGGACAAGTGGCAAGTCCGCACGTGGATTCCGGGTATACGAGAGGAACAGGCAGCAGGTGCTGCGCCTCTTCCCAGAACAGTCAGTCAAGACCCAGCAGATCCGTGGCAAGGTCATGTCATTTTACGTCCAGGGTGCAAAGATGTCCCTGAAGGGACAATGTTATTGTCGCAACCAAGTCCATCAAGAAAGGTTGGCTGCTGTATGTAGGCGCCTACAACATGTGTGACAGCAAGCATCTGATAGTTGATTTTCTCCAAGAGAATGCCATCAGCAGAAAGCAGTTCCACATGAATTGTGCCGACATCGGCTTGTGGCAGGCTGAGATTGTGCTCAGTCCACAAGACTTCAGAGCCTGGAGGCATTGGGATGCAGACATGAGCGATGATGAAGAGCCGAGGAGGCATGCCAGACGGAGGATGACGTATTTAGAGGAAGCTGCACACGTCGAAAGCAAGCGGGCCCGACATGGCTGAAGAAGCCTCATCAAGGAGTCCCTTGGTCTACAAGCTTACTCCGTGTCAAATAGTTTAGGGTAGAATTTTTCAATCGTAAGGCCTAATCCAGCGCCTCCGATTTTCCAAGCCGCAAGCCCGCGCCAGTCTAAGCCTCAAGACGAAGGCGCGCATGAACCGGAACTCATGACTGGCGGAGCACCGGTGGTTCTCCTCGTTGTGCAGCTTGTGCACATAAGGCGCCTGGACAGGAACCATCTGCGATACCGGTGCTCTGAGAAAGGAGGATGTTGGCCGCATGTGACAACGCAAGCATTCTTGTCCATCAGACACTCCGCCCTCAACAGTAACCCCCAAGCTTGGTCTGCTCTTTCAAGCCCAAGATAGCCGCCGTGTTGCCAGGGCCACAGCAATTGGCCCCGCAGCTGGCAATTACCAGAGGACAGATCCAGAAAGGATGTTGGTTATTCCCACGTTTATTTTCATTGTCCTTGTTGCTCGTCTTTGCTGTCTTTTGCTGTCGCTGCTGACTCTTCTGCTTTCCGTGCATGTGTTCTGACTCTGCTGCGTTCCGTGCATGTGTTTTTTGGCTTTCTCTTGGCATAGCACAGCTGCGATGACACCGGTACCATCGCAATACTCACTGCAGCATATATTATGTGCAAAACAGCGGTTGTGCCAATGCGCGGTTGTGTCATGCACCCCCAAAATCTGGGCTTTGGAGTACCATGCTTTAATACTTCTTTCAGAAGGAGCCATTATGACATAACAGTTTATGTTGTTTTTTTCTCCCAGGCTACTTAAAAACCCAGAAATAAGTTTGCAGGAAACTCTGAAATACGAAATCCTTCGCGACTGCCAGGAGGCTGCCCCCGTGATGGCGGATGCCTTCAGCGCAGGCATCGGCTGGGCTTCTCAACCCTGAGCTTTAAACCTAAACCCTGTAGCCCGTACACCCGAAACCCTATGGCCCCGAAACCCGAAACCCTGAACCCGAAGCCTTGGCACATGGAGCAACGACCTTTGAGCTCCAGAAGAAGATATCAGCTATGAATGCATATCGTGACTTCAAGCCCACTGGCCCTGAAGCCACGGACTTTAAAGTTACAGCGCCCTCATGTCTCAAGCTCCAGGCTAAGACCCTAGAGCCCAGAGCCTGCACAACTTTAAGACGGAAATAAGAAAATATTTAAGAAATAGTATCTCCTTACGGTCCCGACATAGTGATACTACAAACATAGACCTCCTAAGCCCATGTTGTAAGGCCGCTCTATTATGCTTAATATAGTCTCCCGTTACCTACATAGATATCCCCCCCACCCCTAAAGCCCTGTTTGAATTATTAAGGTCCCTCTATTCCCGCTGTCAACTCTGGGTTCCGAAAGCGTCTTGGTCCGGGTCGCAGGGCTTAAGGTTTGCGACCCGGGGTTGAGGGTTTGGGAGTTTTAGGGTTTAAGGTTTGTTTAGGGTTTAGGGTTTAAGGTTCAGGGTTTCCTTTGGGGCTTCGGGTTTAGGCGCTCATTCCGAAGATCCATCGACAGCTTTGCCGTCACTACCTTTCATCAGCAGCATCAGCCCTGATGAGTATCATCCTCAGTTCTAGCGTGTATCGTCACCGCCACCACATCGTCGTCATCATGATCAGGATGTTCTTCTTCTTCACCACTTGGCATCATGACAACCTTCACTGGTCATAAGCACTATTCCCGCTAGTACTATGATCTCCCGGTGGCAGTCTCTACCAACGCAGTGACTGGCGTCGACTCCACGGTAAGTGGTATTCGTCGTCGTCGTGGGCTGGCGAGGGGCGTGAGTCGCTGAAGCCCGAACCGAAAACCCCCCAACTCCCCCACACACACCCCGAACCCACAGCTCTAGATGATCATCCCGTGAGCTCTACCCCAAGCCCCATATTCTTAAATCGCCACCATCCGGGTAGTTCTCTTCCGGCACAAGTTCCAGCCACTAAACCCTAAATAGACTACACCCTAACCCCTAAACCCCTAAAGCCCTAAACCCCTCAATTGAAGGAGCCCCTTAACGGAACCCTTAAAAAGGAGCCCTTCAAGGAGCGCCTTTAGCCCCTAGGAGTTAAAACTATAAACACTAAGCGCATCAAACCGCAGTCCCTCCAGCAATCCTTATGGACTCCTTCTAAAGGACACCCTTTACAAGAACCCTAAACCCCTAAACCCTGAACCCTAACTTTATACATATATATATATATAACATCAACCGTAGTCCCTTATAGTAATCCGCTGGCTTGGCCTCAATGTGGATGGGCCTGCTTCCGTCACAGACCGGACTGGCAGCCTTGTCTCACGTGTTGGTATAAATGGATCGGCCAGCGACGATGCCCTGGTACGCTATGTTGCAAGGATACCCGGGGTGACCATTGCATGCGACGAAAACACATGGCGCTGGCAGATCGTTGTGACGTTGAATGCTGCCGGCAATCGGGCACTGGGCTTGCCGTTCTTCATCACTCGCCTATGGCACCGCAGAGCTGGAGTCTGGCAACGGAACACCCTCAGCGACAACATGCGCTTGATTGCTGCAGGACCAACAAGCGGTAACAGGCCTGTCACAGCGGCATCGATCTAGTGTTCCAGCAATATGAAGGATCTGTTTTCAATGTCATACCAGTGCCAGCATACAACCTCGAGCCGACCTTGACATCGAACATCAACAGGTTTGCAGAGAAACAGCACCGGCTCTTTCACCTTGCCAAGTACCTGTACCAGGTTGAGCCGGTATCAGAGATCATTCGGTCAGAGTGTTGTCGGCCGCCGGGGTTTCATTGATAGGACTTTGTAATATTTCCCATCTAAGATGTTTGACCGGCGGTAACGCTGCAGGCATTTGTGCGCGTAGGCATTTTCGGTTCCCTGAGGTCGTTTGGGGTTTCTTAATCAGCCATTGCCTTGCTGTTTGGAATAGAAGTTCTGTGACTAAGAGCCGCCCCAATGCCCACTACACACCCTCTTGGGACTTCCTTCCTCCTTGAATCCCTCGGTTGTTTCTTCTCTTTGTTATGGCTTTTCCTAATTCAGCAAATCAGCTGCTGTGACGCTTTGCGTCCTTCTTGGCGGATGCTTCGGGGCTCGTGAGGCTGGCAAGCGAACTAATTACTGTAAAAAAAATTATAGTAATCCTTATAGACCCCTTTTACCGGAACCCCTTTCAAGGAACCCTAAACCCCTAAACGCTAAGCACCAGGCCAGCGACCGACGCTCATCGTCAAACCCGACCGGGGCTCGCAAGGCCCTCCCGCTGTGCCTTGGGGGCGGAGAGCTGGTGGAGCTTTGGGATGTTACAGATTCTTCGGTGGGGGCGGGGCGGGGGGGGTTTAGGGTGTAGGAGTCTCGGGCTTTGGGGATGTTATCGATTTTTCGGAGGGGGTCTAGGGTTTAGGGTTTTGGTTTGGGGTATGTAGGGTTTAGGAGTGTAGGAGTTCAGGGGTCTAGGGTTTAGGGTTGTGGTGTAGGGTTTGTCATAGGTTATTACCAACCCCCCCACCAACCCCCCCCCCAGCAGCCCTCAGCGGTGCTGTCATTTCCTTCAAAGCCGGGCGGAGCCTTACTAAGCCCTGCAAAGCCTTAGTAAGGCTTAGCAAGCATTGCTAAAACTTGCTGTTGCCTAAAGGTTTGTCAGTCATTCGCGCCCTTTGCTCTTCACTTAAAAATCGGGTCTCGCAAAATGCAAACGATGTGAGAATCAGGTCCGTTTGAGTTCTCATTGTTTCGCGAAGCTTCATCTTGTCATTGTACCAGACATCCAGGTGGAGAAAGCTGCGGTAGGGCAGGGTAGGGTGGGATACGGGTGGGGTAGTAGGCACGGGAAAACACGGCCTCACCAAGCCTCAGCAAGCCTCAGCAAGCCTCAGCAAGCCTCACCAAGCCTCAGCAAGCCTTAGCAAGCCTTAGCAAGCCCCAGCAAGCCCCAGCAAACCTCAAGACTCTGCAAGCTTCACCAGGCTTTCAGCCCGCCCAGTCCCCACCGCCGCTGCGCACCAGACACAACCCGAGCACCCACCCCACTCGCAAACCCCAAACCCTCAAGACGTGTATTGGTGTATTTGGTCAACGTTGCTGAGCTTCGAGAGCTATTGAGGGCTGCTGGGGGGGGGGTTGGAGGGGGGGTTGGTAGTAACCTATGAGTTTGGGGTTTAGGAGTTTAGGGGTTGAGGGTTGTGGTGTAGGATTTACGGTTTGCTTTGGGGTAGGGCTCAGGGATTGGAGGTTCTCGCTGCTCTGTCCCATGGTTCTTTGCGCCCTCTCTCTCTCTCTCTCTCTCTCTCTCTCTCTCTCTCTCTCTCTCTCTCTCTATACTTGGCACAGGTGGGACCCGGCAACCAATCGCATCCCCAATATAAGGGCATCAATAATTACCATCTAGCTTCCCCTTATATGTTTACACATATTTATGCTACAATGACACCCAAAGATTTAATCTCATCGTTAAGGCCCCCAAACTGCCCCCAAATGCCCGGGAGGCTCTGGAATCGCTCTGGTGAAGAGCCCAGAGGCAGCGAAGGGCTGCAGGTTTGGCGGCTTCGGTTTGGGTTCGCGCTCCCAAGGATTTAGGGTTTAGAGTTGGGGGTTAAGGGTCTAGGGTTTAGGGGTTTAGGGGTTCAGGAAGTTGTTCCTCCGAAGGAACCCGTAAAGGAATCCTTATATCCAAGGGTAAGAGGAGGGACCCTTAGTCAGGACCCCTAGGTATATACCCTTAATATAGCTATTATATACCCATTATATAGCCCATTATAGGGTAGGGATCCCCATTAAGGGTCCCTCCTTTTCCCCTTTGATTATTAGAACCCGAAAGAGCAGCCGTAGCAGAGCCGTCAGAACCACCACTTCTGGGAGCAGGTCCTGGTCTGTCTTCCCACAGCAACTCTTGCACGCTCTAGGACTAGTAGAAGGCATGTTTGTAGGACTCGGAAATAGGAGCTGAATGCTCAACAGAAAGCAGCCGCAAGGAAGGGAATCGAATTCTGGATTCTTGCAAATCCTGTAAGGGCAAACCTAGTGACGTCTTCAAAGCCTTCACATGCGCTGCCCTCAAACCTGGAGCCTGAATTCTGAACCCTGGGCCCCAAACCCCAAAGCCATGAACCTCAAACTCAAGAACACGAAACCGCCCTGAGCCTCTCGCACCGCAACTCCCGGCGACAGCTTTTCGAAGGACTTGCAGAAAACCCTTGCTCGTTTGGTCTCGCCCCAGGCCGTGACTTCCCGACTGGTCGTATACATCTCTCTATGCATACATATATATATATATATATATATACATACACACATACTTGTGTATACGTATATGCATACATGTATGTGCATATGTAGGTAGTTGGCCCCATGAGCACATAAGATGATACAAATATGCATATGTGCTCTGTCTGTGTACTACCCATGGTGCCTGCGTACATATATGAATACACCTGTTTGTATAAACATATGTGTATGCATATGTATATACGTGAGGTATACTAGCCTGCCCGTGTCTGTGCATGTTTGGCTGGGTATGCATGTATGTAGGTGTGTGTGTATATATATATGTATGTATATATATATATATATATATACGCACACCGAGGCACGCACAAAGATTCAGTGCGATGATTTCGTGTGAGAACTGTGACAGTACCACTGGCGATAGCCACAATACCCTTGGACCTGCAGCCTGCAGCCTAATCCCTTGACGGGGCCCAATAGGCAGCCAGCAGTAAGCCTACAAAACGCATCCATTACTTGTCTCACTTTCTGCATCGGTTGTTATTGTTGTTGTATCACTAGCCAGTGTGTTCACGCATCAACTGAGAGAGAACCAGACTCGACGGAACCTCTGTACATATCTGCACGTACATACATGTCTCGCCTACAAGCATTAGTTCATTCACGATCATTTTTGCGGCTTCGGTCTGAAGTTCTTGTTGTAATTGTAGCACACTTGTCGACACCCTTGTCATTGTTGCTGCTTTTACTGTTGCAATCATTGACCTTTTCCGGACAGCTGCATGAAGTCGTCACCCTAAACCTTGAGCTGGACTCCCAGAGCCCTAATACCTAAACCTCTAAGCCTCTAAGCCCTAATCCCCAACCTCCAAACTCTGATCATTCTGATCCTTTAACCAGAAGCCATAAAGCCTAAACTCAAGTCTATGAGGCAACGCGCAGGCTAAGTAGTTTCCCTGGCTCTTGGTACGGAATGGGGAAAATGGGTTTATAAGGAATGTTATGAGGGACCTCAGGGGACTATCACCTAGTAGTCGAGTAGATAACCTTTAACCTTGTTTGGGTAGTATAGTCCCTATATAATCCCTTAATATAACCTAAAAGGTTAACCTTTAGTTCCCCATGATACCCGACAAGTATGATCATAAGCATCCACTTCCGCATTCCCGATCAACGATGGCGTAGAATTTGGGGTTTAGGCTTCCCAGACCCCCGGGAGGATCTAGAAAGTAGATCCCCAAATTTGTGGCCCTATACTACTGAGGGCACTTCATAGGAACCCCCATTAAGGGATCTACTTTTTGGATCTTTTGGGGGGTCTGGGTTTAGGCTTGGGAAGTTCAGGGCTTGAGGTTTCGGGTCCAAGATGTTTTGTCAACGGGCTCTATAGGGGCTACATAGGGTTTAGGGTTTAGGGTTTAGGGTTGTTACAGGTCTTTTATCAGCTAATTACCACCCAGGCTGGTGCTGTACTTAGAGGGCGTAGAAGGGTATCCGACAAGGATGGCTGTAAGAAGGGTCTTTTTCCCAGGGATCGTACATTTCGCGCCCCGCACCCAGAAGCATCATGTCCCAAACAGGCCATCGTCCAGGAGTATATTGCGGAGCCGCTTCTTCTCGAGGGGTTCAAGTGGGATGCCAGGACGATGATGGGGCGCTCAAGCTTTGCAGGGATGTTCGACTCCTGTTGTCTACACTATGCCATCACTATGCTATACCAGCTGAACCATAAAATCCTAAACCCTAAACGCCCAAAGCCGAAACCCTAGACCGTAGCCTAGTCCCTGCAGTTTTTGTTGGGGCGGGGTCAAGGGTTTGCGGGTTTAGGTTTCAGGGTATGAGGTGTGGGGTTTAGGTTCTGGAGTCTAGGGTGAGAGACTGTTCATGTCTGGGCGCTTTTTTATTGTTTGCTTTCTTGGGTGTTTCGTGGTTTTGTGGTATTGGGGTAATGTATGTACGAAATCAGTTCGTCACGCAACACGTATCTCATGTCCAAGACCTGGCAAAGTTGAGGCCCCCATGAACTCTGCATGCATCCTAACACCCTTGAGACCCAAACCCCTGAGCCTTAAATCGAAAGAAAGAACTAACCCTATTCTGGAAGAATCCCTAATTATGTAGTATTCCTTTGGGGGCAGGTTCCGTATCAGATTTATAGTACAACGTTCCTAAACCCTAGGCCACAAACCCCAAAGCCTAAATCCCAAACACTAAACCTGAAACCCTGAACCCTATTCGAAATCCTTTGTAGCGCCTTTAAAGAGCCCTTACAGGAACCCTTGTAATACCCTTCAAAGGAACACTATTTTGGGACTTCGACTTCCCTTCTGCTTCTCCTACCTTTGGTTAGTACTGTGGGGAATGGAGGAATGGGGTACAATTATAACTACTATTACCACCATTCTTCCATTCCCTACTAACCAAAGGTAAGTTATAGGATTACTAAGGCCCCTATATGATAGAACCCTTACAGATCCCTTATAGTAACCCTTATAGACGCGCTTTAAAGGGAACCCTACCATTCCCTACTAACCAAAGGTAAGTTCTGTGAGGATCTATGTTCTGCTCGTCCCGGACAGCTCCGGGCGACAGCTCCATGCGTTCATGTCTCAGGCCGGGGACTTCTTGCAGTGAGCCCAGGGCTCCTTTAAGGGGCTTATGAGGGTTCCTTTAAATGATCTATAATAAGGGCTCCTTTAAAGGGCTTATAAGGGTTCCTTTAAATGATCTATAAGGGCTCCTTTAAAGGGCTCATAAAGGGTTCTTTTAAATGATCTATAAGGGTTCCTGTAATTAAGGGCTCAGACTTCTTGCAGTGAAGAATTCCCAGAGACTCCACTATCCCTTAATGAAGGAATACCTAGGATTCCTTCAAGGGATCTATAGGGTATCTATAGAGTTCAGGATTTAGGGGACTTTAATATCCCTTAATTAAGGAATATACCTAAGGGTTCCTTAAACCTTACCGGGTTCCCGAATGGGGTTTATAACGGTTCTCTAAGGGAATTAAGGGACATACCTTAAATCAAATTTAGGGATCCTACTACAACTTAAGCTATATTTTTCAAGTTAGGGATATTGGAGTCTCTGGGCAGAATTCGGGCGCTGCCCTTTATTGGTTGCTTGAAATGAGGCTTTATGCGGCTTCATGTCCGTTGCAGATCAGCCCCAGCACAACTACCCCACCCCACAGCCCCCCAGGCCCAGTCTAGCCAAGCCAATCAGCCCAGCCCACACCCAGCCCAGCCCAGCCCACTCAGAGATGGCGTTGCAGATCGCCAGCCCCAGCTCAGAGCCCCTAGGTCCAGCCTAGCCAAGCAGAGTGCGAAATCACAAGTCGAAAACCAAAGCTTTCGCACAAAACGTTTCGGTCGAAACGCCGGACCCAAACCCGATACAGTTTCTATAAACCCCGAACCCTAAAGACACCGAACATGGAACGACAAATAGTACGATCCTTGTGATAAGGACCCCGAAGTACGGTACTGTGGGCATCGGAAAAACTAGTAACACAATCGCTTTAGTCTTATCGTCCCTTTTGAACTATACTGAAATCTACCTCCTACCAAAACCATGTGAGCAAAATATGCAACCCTGATGGATGGATGGATGGATGGATGGATGGATGGATGGATGGAGGAAGGGCTTCAAAGAAGCTTAAGCTCCAAACCCTCAAAGAACCCCTAAAGTCCCTAAAGAACACGTCGGGTTGTCAAAGCCATGCCTCGGGCGGAAAGGACGGGCTGGCACGGGTCTGCGTGGACCCTTATGAGGTGCCTACCAAGAGGCGCCGAGAGAAGGATTTAGGGTTAGGGTTTAGGATTTAGGGTTTAGGGTTTTGGGCTTAGGGACAGGTGAAGTTTCGGTTTTCGTGGGTCTGACTTTTGGTACCAGCAGCTGCGTCACACCGAACAGGTTCACAAGAACATCTAATTGTTTAATGAAAACAAAGCATTGCGATGGCCGCAGAGGGTGTTGGCGCAATGTGATTTCTGACCAGTGGCCTGAATGTCAAAGCGATGAAATTCAAACAAGCGCGGGTAAGCCGCGCGAGTCGCTATGACTCTCTTAAAGTACTCGCCATCTCGTTATTTAGTGACGCGCATGAATGGATTAACGAGCTTCACACGGTGAGAACCTACTATCTAGCGAAAACTGATAAACATGAAAGACAGCCGCCAGATGGATGGGTTGGCTCATGTATGCATGTACGCACGCATGCATACCTACATACATGCATAAAGACAGGTCGGGATGCATAGATACAAAGACATACGGTGACATACGTACATAGGTACATACATATATACGTTCTTACATCTGTACATACATCCGTACATACATGCATACAATACATACACAACACACACACACACACCCAAGATCCCCCCCCCCACACACACACACACACGCACACCTACGCACCACCGCAGGCAGGCACGCAGACGCACGCGCACTTGCATGTGTACATACGTGCAGACTGTCTACACGCGTTTGTACATGCCATTCACTTCGATACTGTGCGTTCGACCACTCACAGCAAGTGCAGAAGAGTGATGTCAATGCACAAACATGGGATCCGGAAACCGTGGACATCGGATGTCGGGCTGCTCAGAAGTTTGGAACACGATCTTCGTCCTCAAACTAAGCCTAGAACAGAGGGAAGGGGAACAGTGTACCTCTTGCTTTTGCGTTGTGACATTCTGTCTTCCTAAGCTCTTCAAGCCCCTAGTCCTGAATGCGGAGCCATCCAATTTGATTCTTTAAACTCCACTGCATGGGGGCTTTGATGTAGGAGCTTGATCAAGTAGCAATCGTATTTCCGTGGCATTTCCTCACATCAACTACCGTTTACAAAACCCGCAATCCGGTCTACCGGTACAGGCTTGTCGATCCCTCGTTGATAAACCGTTTCCCTAATAAGGCTTATCATAACGATTCGAGTGGCATTGCCCATTTCTGTTCGGAATCGAGGAGGGTCTCTCAGTCGGGCTACTACATTCGGCTTTAGCTCTTAAGTACTTCCATGAAAACAAGGTGGGTTTGAGAAAAAGCCCGGTTATAGAGATTTAAGAGCTGGTGGCCCTATATGTTGGATTCACTGAAACGATAAGGAATAAATTTTAACGATAAGATTTCTGTTTTCTCTGTCAGCATATCTCAGTATGGCAGGGATGTACAAGTAATGCAAAAGAACTCTCAAACCCTTCCTAGAACCCCTTTTGAAGCCCTACTTGGAGGTTGCTAACTATAGTTACCCTGTTTATAACTTATAACCCCCGTTTAAACCTACCCATGAGCTTGCAAGTAGAGTTTAAACCCTAAACCTCATAGAGCCCTTACAGGAACCCTACGTATAACTAGCAATGAACTTCCCAGTAGCCCTAAACCCTAAACCTAAACCGCAGGAACCTCCACAAACAGCTCTCGCACCTCACGAACTACAGCGTGGGGGACTCTGGTCTTCGCTCAGCCTTGTCCTTTTTCATGGTTCCCCCAAAAGAATAAACAGACCGGCTGGTAGACCTTCTTAAATCATTCCTACTAAGGGATATAGGTATAGGGCTCTGTCTATTGTTCTAAAAGGACAAGGGTGTCTTCGCTAGTCTTGTAGGACTTTATACTTTTAGTAGTCAAAATTGTGGTCCCTTTTGGGGTGCCCTAAATAATAGGTGCCGTATTGTAATAGGGGCCCAAAAAGGGACCATAATTGTGACTACTACCCATATCTGGTGTTAAGGTTTAGGATTCAGGGCTTACCGTTCTTATCATGTTGTACGGAAGGTTTGGTTGGCTTGGATGTGTGGCATGGTAAGACAAGTGGTGATGCATGGTAAGAGGTAGAATTTGTTGCCCTTGGTTCGCTGGGGCGTATTTGGCGGATATCCGATTTGTTCCCGGTGGTTTGCTGGGACGTGTGGCATGGTAAGATCTGTTTGCTTCGATGGAATATTTGGCATCGCGGGACGTGAGGTTAGTTGCCGTTGTTTTGCCGGAAGGATGGTCAGATGGAGGTACGTATTGAGCACAGCGACGGGGAAACAATCACGCTTTTGACCCCTCTCCTTTTGGAGTTCAGGTTGTTGGGATTGGATTTTTCAGGGTGATTTCCGTCTTTCGGATTGCGCCCTCATCCTCTGCAGTCCGCCACTCTTGGGTTTGCGGTGTTGGGAAGCTGGTCGGATGTAGGGTTTAGGATTCCCGGGTTTAGGATGAGGGTTACTTTGGAATTTAGGATCTGAGCGTCTTGTCTTTTATCTGCTTGGGGCTCTTCGGGTGTTCTGTCACACCGGCGGTGCTTTGGTTGTGGTGGTGCGGGCAGAGCAACGCATGCCAGCTTGGGGCTTGTAGGTTTCACTCGCCGAGGTGAGCAAGTTGTCCGACAAGTACGTCCACAATGACGATCCCAGCGACGGTGGTTCAGGAGACTTGGCTTGTTTTTAGGAGTCGTCTCGGGGCAGATCCTGCTGGTGTGTAACTCTGGTTTAGGGTTCAGGGTTTAGGGTTCCCCAGGTTCGCATTTGACTGGTGGCATTTGCCGAAGTCATTGGTCTTACCATCCAGCACCAAGACCATCAACACCATTTAAACCCTGAGCCCCAGCCTACACCCCAAGCTCGAAACTGGGTTCTGGCTAAGGAAGTTAGGTGGAGCTACTGTATGACAATGCCTCAGCAAAATCCTTGGAATCCGAAACAAACACTACACCATGCACAAAACTCCTGAAGAACCCCCAAAAAACGTATGAGACCCTTCATAAGCTTAGCCGCACGCCTTAAAACCCAAAGTCTTTTTGTAAGCCATTCAGTCGCGAAGTCCTTAGAGTTTAAACTCCAAGGGTGCAAGCGGAGTCTCCGTGCCGTGCTGGAACGTCTGAACCTGAAGGCCGGGAAGGAACTCGGAAAAATCAAGAATATCAGAAGTTCAGGGTTTAGGGTTAGTAGGAATTCGTGATAGTGTTTTGGCTTGTAGGTTGCTTCATACAACTTCGACATGGCTTGTTGGGTCTCCAGATGGTTCTACAAGGGTCTCGGGGTGCTAAATGGAGTTTAAGGAGTCCGGGAACATACGATGAAGGTCCCTTCCGTAGGTTTGGCTTAGGGATCAGGCTTTGCGGCTAAACACCAGGACCCTCCTTGCACCCTCAAATAGGGGTATATGGTCCCAAGTAAGGGGCATTTAGGGTCTTCTTGAGGGTAGATGGAGGGTCTAGGCATTTGGGAGTTTCCGAAAATTAGGGGTACCTTATTTGGGGGTCCTTATAATAAGGATCCTACTATGTAAAAATTTAGGGTACTATACTGGGGTCCCTTATTTTCGGAAACTCACATTTCAGTGCTGTGGCTTGAAAAATCTCGCGGCTTGAAGTCTACATGGGTAGTTTTCAAAACTAGGGTCCCTTTTTGGGGTACCCTAAATAGTAGGTGCCGTATTATATTAGGGACCCAAAAAGGGACCATGAATTTGACAACACCCCACATGGTATGTTTAAGCTTAACCTGAAGGCTAAATCCCCAAACGTGTCCGCATGACGATGTTTCTAGTGTCGGCATTTAGATTGGGGTGTCCCCCCATTGAACCACCCATCTTAGATGCTGCGCAGCCAGCGCTATGTGCCAGCATCGTCATGGCCTTCCGCCGCAACAAAAGGCTCCAATGCACCAAACCGCAAGATTGGCGTCAAAGAGCCCTTGCAACTAGAGAACGAGTGTCCCGAAAGCAGTGGAGCAGCGATGTAGTCAGCACCGCGACACCTAACATCATCTCATCCCTCCATTCCTCGATCCGTCCCTCCATCCTGAGAATGTTTTCGTGCCACCACCCCACCACTCCACCGCCCCACCTTCCCTCCATCCATCTATCCCTCCGTCCCTCCATCCGTCCCTCCATCCAGCCATCCATTTATCTATCGATCCTTCTTTCATGCATCCAGCCAGCCAGCCACCAATCCGTCCATCCATGCATCCGTCCATGCATCCATCCCTCCCTCCGTCCGTCCATCCATCCATCTTTCACGCGAGGTTGTCCATTCCGAGCACGACTCGTCGCAGCACCACACGTGCTACGCGGTTTCGCCCGACCGGCAGAAATGCTTCCGTTAATTAATGGACTGGCAGGATTCAGAAGCACGGCCAAAACGCTTCTCCCGCCAGTATCACACCGAGAGTGCCGTTACGGAGGGCAACGTTAGGCCTGAGCCGCACCCAGCGGACGATGCGGACATGCCGACATCACCGAGAGGTTGCTAATTCGGAAGAAGAATCGTCACAGAGCCACAAGCACAGCCAGGTAGGCCCAACTCGCCCGTATCCGGAGAGTTGTTGCCAAGTCCGACCCGCCGCGCCATTGCCGGGGGGCGCGGCGACCCGCGCCAGCCGTGCACCGTGCTGTACCCAAAGACTCCAATATCCTTCAATAAAGGACTACAGCTGAAACTATAGTAGGATCCCGACTGGTAATGTCATTTAAGGTATATTTATTCCTTAACTGAGGGATGTTGGAGTTTCTGGGCAGCTAACACAAATCAGGTTTGAATAAGAGAGAGAACCTCACATCATAATACACCATCCAATCAATCATAAATCCATCGCATAGACAACTCCTCCTGGGAAAATCCGTCCCAATGCTTTCGGGAAAATTTCTTTGAAGACATCAAAAGCCAGCCCAAAACCCAATGCTCTGCGACCCCTGCAACACCCGTATGCGAAACCCGCGTCTTAAAACTGCGAGGCTCGTGTAAGTATGGGGGTTTCCGAAAATAGGGGACCCTAATATAGTACCCCAAATAGTAGGATCCTTTTTATAGGGACCCCCCAAAGTAAGGTACCCCGAATTTTCGGAAACTCCCATGTGGATACCACTGCTTTGGACGGATACTGGACCCCATCTCCGAGCACTAAACCCTCAAAAAAGGTGTTAGGGCTTATAGTTGAGGGTTAGGGTTTATAGTAAGTATAGTTTAGGGTTATGGGTTATAGTAAGTATAGTTTAGGGTTATGGTTTATAGTAAGTATAGTTTAGGGTTATGGTTTATAGTAAGTATAGTTTAGGGTTATGGTTTATAGTAAGTATAGTTTAGGGTTATGGTTTATAGTAAGTATAGTTTAGGGTTATGGTTTATAGTAAGTATAGTTTAGGGTTATGGTTTATAGTAAGTATAGTTTAGGGTTATGGTTTATAGTAAGTATAGTTTAGGGTTATGGTTTATAGTAAGTATAGTTTAGGGTTATGGTTTATAGTAAGTATAGTTTAGGGTTATGGTTTATAGCAAGTATAGCTTTAGGGTTATGGTTTATAGTAAGTATAGTTTAGGGTTATTGTTTATAGTCAGTATAGTTTAGGGTTAGGGTTTATAGTAAAGGGTTCAGGGTTTAGGGTGTATAGTAATTAAAGCGTTTAGGGTTAAGGGTATAGTAAATAAATCCCAACAAGTTAAAAGTGTAAATAAGGATACCACTCTGTGATTGGACCCCAGCTAAGAACACTAAACCCTACAGAAAACCACCGAAAAAGTTGGAAGCCGGATTAAGGACAAGTAGTGCCGAGATTCGCTATACATTACTCTTAAGGATTGAGTCTACTGGGTTTCCAACTTTTTTGAGCTTCTACTGTAAGATCCGTATATAATAACACCTCATAGTAGAGTACCCTTAAGGATTCCTTATAGTAACCTTTGTTAAGCCGTCATGCAAGACCAGGGTGAGGATTTCTGGCACGACTTGGGGGCGCTGGTGACGGACACTTGGATCACAAACCCCTAACCCTAAACCCCTAAACCCTAAACTCGTAAACCCTAAACCCTAAACCCGTAAACCCTAAACCCTTAAGCCCCTAAACCCTAAACCCCTAAACCCTAAACCCCTAAACCCTACATCGGTGCATTGGGTCCCAGTTGATCATGCTAAAGGATTACTGACTAGAGGCTTGAGTGGGTTCAGGATTCATAGAAAAAGTTGAGGGGGTTGGGGTTTAGGGTTTAGGGTTTAGGGTTTAGGGTTTAGGGTTGGGGTTTAGGTCAATTGAGGGAAGTGAAAGGGTTTTCGGTTTAGGTGGTGTTGGACGTAACGTTCAGGGTTCGTTGGGGCTCACATTTGTCGGATCGTAGTGCTGAGCTTCTCCAGGGGTTTCCAGATGGCAGTGTAACCCTAAACCGTAAACCCTTCGCGTGCTTTCAGCGTGCAATTTGGCCGGTAGATAACCAAACGTGCAAGAACCATGCGACTTTTAGCAGCGCACCCTCCACTTCGGTAGAGGGTGGCAAGGATAGCATGTGGTGAACAGAGAAAGTTGTCTAAAGGGCGGCGGCTTCGTCATCGTCAGCCCCCACATGCACAGGTCTAAACCCCTGAACCCGTAAATCAACCCTCAACCTTAAACTCTAGCCCCTAAACCCCTAAACCCTAAAACCCCTAAACCCCTAAACCCCTAAACCCTGAAACCCCTAAACCCCTAAACCCTAAAACCCCTAAACCCCTAAACCCCTAAACCCCTAAACCCTAAAACCCCTAAACCCCTAAAACCCCTAAACCCTGAAACCCCTAAAACCCCTAAACCCCTAAAACCCCTAAACCCCTAAAACCTCTAAACCCCTGAACCCCTAAACCCTTAAACCCTAAAACCCCTAAACCCCTAAATGCAACCTCTAAACCTCAGCTTTGTGGCCTTCTGGGAGCCTTTTTCCTCTAAACCTAAACCCCGGAACCCAAAACCTCAAAGAACCTCAGAAACTCTACGACCCTAAAACCCTTAAAGTACTAGAAACCCAGCCGTAAAGCTTCAAGACTGACGCCTAGACTCACGTTTGTTGCCTTTTTCGTAGGGTCTAGGGGTTTTTTCGAGAGTTCAGGACACCGTGGCTGCCATTACCGAGCCGCTTCTGCGCACGTGTTCCAGTGAGGAGAGTTGGCCTTGAGGGTCAATGAGGGTTCAGGGGTTTGGGGGCAGTAGACCCTAAACCCTAAACCCTTAATCCTAAACCCTAAACCCTGAACCCTAAACCCTTAATCCTAATCCCTAAACCCTTAATCCTAAACTCTAAACCCTAAGGGTTTAATTTGGCTTCGGGTTCAGGGTTTAGAGAGGCTTGCTCTTGTGGCTGAAGCGCCTAGGATCTTCGGGCTCCAGGCTTTCGGGTTGTGTAGCATTTCGGGTACATACACCCCCCTAACCCCTAAACCCTAAACCCTCAAGACCCCACAAATTGAGCTTGCGTATTTCACCGTGCGTGGCATTCCTTTATGTTCTTGTTTAAATTGAAATAAGTATGGATATACATAACCGCGTGCACAAGATATTACAATCAAGTTTAGGTAAAGGGAACCAAATATTCCACCACTACCACCAAATCACAATCAAGTTCAAGTAAATAGAACCAAACAGTGCAAAGTCGCCATTGCATCACACATTCGTGGGTTCACTTAAATAATCATTGTTCCGTCGTTGGACTATGTAGACGCATATACATATAGATCTGCAAATCTAGACATGTATGCGCAAGTAGAAAATTTTTAACCACATCTATTACAATATTCAATTAATTCAGTAAACTGAGTTAATTAACTTAATTCAATTCATTCAATTAATTCCATAAATCCAGTTAATTCGACTGAGTTAGTTCACTTAATTCAATTCAATTAATTCAGTTAATTCAATTTAATTCAGTGAAATCAGTTAATTCAATTAGTTAAACTAATTCCATGAGGCTGTCAACAACGCCAATAAGATGGAGAAACGCCGGCTCGGGATAGCGTTCTCTGACCCGACCCTGATGAACCAGCCGCTCAAGAAACAGAAAGTGTCAGTGTCAACCCCGCTGCTGCCAGTAAAATCAACGTACCAGCTGCTCAAGGTTTCCTTTCCGTCTGCGGATTTGCAGCACAAGATCTCTGCGGGATCTGTCAGAGTCTTGCCGAAAGAGAACGAGTTCGAGGCAAAATTCTCGATCGTGGAGGACAACTGCGAGTTCGAGATCAGTGTCAAGAGGGTTGCGTTCCTCTTTAAGGAGGTCATCAGCCCCCCGCAGACCCCGTTCAAGATTCTCGCCGACCGTGTCAGTGTCATGGAGCTGTATCAGCTCTCTGATGCTGAGGATCATGGGCGCATCGTCAAAGCTGTGGAAAGCAAAGCGGGTCTTTCTCACGCTGATGCTCCTCACGTCTACTTCGTGAACAAGATTCAACTAATTCAACTAATTCGTTTAATTCAATTAATTCAAGTAATTCAATTAGGTTATTTGATTGAATGAATTGAAGCGACATATATCCGAAAACTAAAAAATAGCAAACCCAAAAAACTACAAAAAAAACACAAACAAATCCAAAAAAACTCCGCAAAAAAGCTCCAGTTTAACAAACTCAAAAACGCACCCCACACACGAAGCAAGCTCAATAAACCCTAAACTCTAAAGGCAACCCTAAACCTTCAACCCGAAGCCCGCAACTCTGAGTTCTCAGTAAGCAACGCTGTGCAGGTCTGATTGGCTACATCACGATAAACACCAGAACCCCGTGAACTTGATCATTCTAGCTACATCCTGACCGCGAGCCCTAGATCTTTAACCCAGAAGCCTTGCAATGTACAGCAGCTAAGTACTGCGCTGGACTTCAATATGGTACCCCTACCTTATCTCCAAGTTGCCTACCTTTTTAAGGACTTATATAAAGAAATCATATTAGGGAACCTTAAAAAAAGGTAGGTTCCTTAGGGTCCGGGTAATTTTCGGGAAGTCCCATCTACGACCACACCCCATGTCACTTGGCACCTTGGCCCCAAAGATCCCCCTGCTCCAGAACCCAAGACACCTCAAGCCCTACTTGGAGGTTCATGGGTAGTTATAAGGGTTCCTTTAAGGGTCCCCTTAAAAGGATCTATATGGATGTAGGGTTTAGGGTCTACTTGGAGGTTCATGGGTAGTTATAAGTAGTGTTTATAAGTAGGGTATCTATACTTTTAACCCACATTAGGGGACTTATAACCCACTTATGACTACCCATGAATCTCTATGTAGCATGGACACCGAAACCTTAAACGGTTTAGGGTTTACGGTTTAAGGTTTGATAAACTTACGTAGTAGTCGAGTAGGTAACCTTTAACCTTTTCTTGGTGGTTTAGTCCCTATATAACCCCAAAAGAACCAAAAAGATTAACCTTTAGTTCTCCATGATACCCGACAAGTAGGCTTAAATCCTAAACCCTAAGTAACGCTGGGCTCCGAGAGACTCTGAGCCAAGCCCTAAACCGTTATCGTTTTGTCTGTTTGCTGTCCATTTCTACGAAAGAAACTCACTATAATGGTACTTGGCCCGAGCTTCTACGAAAAGAACGCGCGGTATCGGTACTTGGCGCGAATTTGCTGCGACAAGAACGTACCAGGTACTATATTCGTACTTGGCCCGAACTGCGTACTATGTCGGTACCTGACCCGAATACCTACGACAAGAACGAACCTACCATTTTGGCATTTGACCCGGGTGTATACCAAAAGAGCCCATACCTAAATCCTAAACCCTGAACCGTACATCCTAAAATCCTAAACCTTAAAGGGACCTCAAGAGGAATTCTGGAACGGCGACAAGCTCACAGCGGATCTGGCACAGCAGCATTTCTGCATCCTGGCCCATCTGGGTGTTTCCGAAAATAGGGGACCCTAGTATAGTATCCTAAGTACTGGTCACAATAAACTAGGTTCTGGGGATCTGTTTGTCTGTGCAAAAAAATAAAATTAACAACGACATGACCCTAAACCTTACCAAAAAACCCTACACCTTAAACTCTGAACCTTGAACCCTGAACCGAAACCCGTAAACCTTCAACAGTCGGATCCTCAATATAACGGACCCTGCAATAAGGTACCCCTAGTTTTCGGAAACTCCCATCTAGAGACTTCAGGGATCGGGGTGTTAGGTTTTAGGGCTTTTCGGGTTCAGAGCTTTGAGGTTTGGGCTTTTTGGCATGGGGGCTTTGGGGTTTTGGGGCTTGGGGTTTAGAGCTTTAAGGACTTTTAGGAATGAGGCTTTAGGGTCTCGTGGGGTTCTAGGAATGAGGCTTTAGGGGTTTGGGTTTCAGGGTTTAGAGCTTTAGGGTCCAAGGGTTAAGGGTTTAGCTTTTTTGTGATTTGTGTTTGGTTAGAACACAGACGCATGCCAATGTTCTTGCTGTTCATAGAAGTTGAAGAGTCGTACGATCAGCAGAGAACGGGGGCAGATAAGATAGAAAAGAAGGAGCATAGAAGAGGACAGGGACCACCCCTGCAAGGTAGGCAGGCAGCCTGAAACACCAACACCCGTTGGCAACCGGAGTTCTAAGCCCCACGCGCTAGCCTTCAGTCAGAGTGCCCCGGCAGTCCCTCAAGAACCCTCAACCCTGATAAAGGCTTCACATCTCCTACAACCACCTCGATGAAACCCTAGAGCCCACTTTGTGAAGCCTACACAACTCTAAAAACCGTAAGGGTCCAAGTACCTAGTTATCATATACTCCCAAAAAAATCCTTAATTCTTGGGTCACTTGGACCCTCAAGGAAAGCTTTTGAACCCTGATCCCTAAGTCCTAAGTCGCTTCAGGTCGCGATTCGTATCGCGCAAGAGCAAGCAGCAGGACAGCGCTGCGTTTTTTTGGTGGTCCCGCGATGGCTCAAAACGCCCAATCTTGGCCAACTGACGCGGCTTAAAGGCCGCGACATTAGGTTCCTGACAAACTGTCCGTGCGCGATTTCACGACAGCCAATATTGCAGGGGTACGGGCTGCGTGGCATGACTGCCGGATTCGAGTTACGGGAACTGCGGCTGGCTGGGACGCGACGATGGCGGGAGCAGCAATTCAGATGGACGAATGCATAAAAAAAAGGCCTCATGGAAGGCCCTGATGGCCCGTGAATGAAACCGAAGGCTAAGCAGTCCAGTGCTGCCAGGCCATCGGACTCCGCAAACCCCACGGCCAGACCCAGTGATGCAGCCAGCTCTGGCATTTGGGACAGAGACAGGAGCCGCAGAGGAGCATCGAGGCGGACATCGGAGTAAAATCCTGAACTCCTTCAGCCCTTAACGATCACCCTTCAGCCCTAAACCCCAGGAAGGAACCAGGTTTGGAGGCTAACACTTCTTTCCATCTTTAAATAAGTACATGAGTGTATGTGAACGCACATATATGAGGTGTATGTATATGCATGTATATGTATATATGTATGTGTACGCATATGCATGCATATACATGCATATGTATGTATATATGTTTGTTAAACATCTATATCTTCCCGTCTCTCTGTCTTTGTATTTAAATTTTAACTTCGAAGCCTCGAGTTTCACCCAAACAAAAAGCTCACGAGGCCGATGCTTTCGTACATCCATATCCCTCTCTCTCTCTCTCTCTCTCTCTCTCTCTCAATCTCTCTCTCTCTCTCTCTCTCTCTCTCTCGCTCTAACTCTTTGTCTGTCTCTCTACATATACATATCCCAGGCCCTAGGCCCTAAACCCTAAACCCCTAAACCCCTAAACCGTAAGTCCTAACCCTAAACACTAAACTCCTAAACCCCTAAACTCCTAAACCCCTAAATCCTAAACCCCCTTAACCCCTAAACCCCTAAGCCCCTAAACCCCTTAAAAAAAGCGGGCGAGGCCGATGCTTTCAAATTCTGGGTTTCGACGTCCTCGTGGACCAAGCGGCGAAGCCTTGGCTCCTGGAGACTCCCCCGGTTTGGAAGGGTCTTTTAAGGGCTCCCTTAAGGTTTCGTTTAAAGGGGAACCCTGAAGGGTTCCTTAAAGGGGAACCGTTAAGGGTTCCTTAAAAGGGAAGGGTTCCTTCAAGGGGAACCCTTAAAGGTTTCTTAAAGGGGAACCCTTAATCCTTTAAAGAGTGTAGGCTTTAGAGTTTCGGGCTTACGGTTTTAGGGTTCACGACTTAGGATTTGGGGTTTAGGGTTCAGAGCTTCGGAGAAACGGGATACTATCGGATTCCGTCGGGTTTAGTTTAGGGTTCAGAGTTTCGAGTTTAGGGTTTTAGGCTTCTTTCAAAGGGGTACTATCGGGTTCCGTCAAGGGCTGCATGAGGGTACCATCTAAGGGTTCCTTGAAGGATTTTCTAAGCACTTTAATGGGTTTTCCCTACAGTGACTATCGGATTTCGGGCAAAGCGTCTAGGGTTGAAAGGTCTCACGTTGCTGCGGGCCTGTTTTGCTTGACACCGTCGGTGTTTTTTCCTGAACATGTGCCGCAAGTAGTAGGCAAGTAGTGCTTGGGGTGTACTAAATTCGGCTTGAATGCCACGAAATGGTTGGTGTCGATATTTGTGGCATATTATCATATTATGCTAATTTTGGGTTTTCCGAAAAATGTGCTTTGGGACTGTCGAATCAGAGAAATGTCGTTTCGAGGGTAATGTAAATGCAGAGATAGACACAAACATGTCCACGCACAACCTCCCATAGGCATCTTCTTTCGGAAGGGGTTCTGTGAGCTTTGCCGCAAGGGGCTGCATGAAGGGTTCTATGTTTTAAATTCTGGCATGACCTACAACTTCGGGACCCAACCCAGGATTTAACGGGCCAAATCGCTTCTGCTGAGAGACAGTCCATATCCCCTCTTCATTTCAGCATTTAGGGTTGGGTTGCCTGGTCTGGGTAGTCCTCAAACCTCGTGAAGGTCGAGCGCCTGGGGCTGTGGGATTAAAGCTCTAGCGATAGTCAAAGGCAGTTGCAACAGCGTCAGCCACCAGACGGTTTAGGGTTTAGGGTTGAATCTGGCAAAAGTTAGGCGAAGCCGGACTACCCCTGACACTGGCCCTGTTGAACCTCCAAAGACTCCAATATCCCTTAATGAAGGCATATGCCTTCAATTATATAATGGGTCCTACTACAGTTCACGGTATATTCCCCAATTAAGGGAGATTAGACTCCTAAACCCTATAGATCCCTTCAAGGAGCCCTAGGTATTCCTGAATTACGGGATATTGGAGTTTCTGGGTTGCTGCCCCACTCGGACGGTTGATGATAGAAATCCTGCATTACCTTCAGGACCCTAAACTACGGGAATTATGGTATATTCCCTTTTATGGGTAATGCAGGCTTTATATCATCATCCCGAAGCCCTAAACCCCCTATAGGTCCCTTAAAGGAACTCCTTAGAAAGGTATCCTTATAGATCCCTTTAAAGGAACCCTAGGATTTATATACCTTAAAGGTACCTCTTATATCATCAACCGGAGGAGCTCAACAATAACCCGTCCCTCAGCGTGGACGAGGCGAGCCTTACTGGGGTCCCAGAGCCCCAGGGCTGCTGCTTTTGGGTTTAGGGGTTTAGGGTTTAGGGTTTAGGGTTTAGGGGTTTAGGGGTTTAGGGTTTAGGGTTTAGGGGTTTAGGGTTTAGGGTTTAGGGTTTAGGGGTTTAGGGGTTTAGGGTTTAGGGTTTAGGGGGTTTAGGGTTTAGGGTTTAGGATTTTGGGGGTTTAGGGTTTAGGGGGTTTAGGGGGTTTAGGGTTTAGGGTTTAGGGTTTAGGATTTAGGGGGTTTAGGGTTTAGGGTTTAGGGTTTGCCATGCGAAGTCCCCACCCTCCCAACCCAAATCACAAACCTTTGCCGGGTTTAGGGTTTTCCTACCCCCCAACCCCCCTAGCAAGGGGGGAGCACATGATTTATGATGTTCACGCTGAGAAGAACCTTCGGGCACATCACAGCAACGTCTGCGGCGCCCGTGGCTGCCTGCCGGCGCAAGGTGCTGTGACGGGCTTGGGTGGCGCCTTCATAGACAAGCCTCAATTCGAGAGCTTGATCCTGAATTTCAAGCCCCGAATCCCCTCTCCCAATAAAGGGCCGCGGCCCGTCACAGCAATGGCTCCGGCACTGGCGGCTTATGGCCGAGAGACGGTGCTGTGGTGGGCTTTGGCGGAGATCTGGTTGGGGATGCCCCTGATTAAGCCCAAATGGAAGGTTGCCCAGGATTGGCCCGAAAGCGCCCGACGTCCAATGAATTTGGAAGCGAAGTCATATGGCAGAAATGATCCCCGCATTTTTCAATTTACGGCGGCCGTCTGTGGGGGTGCCCTGTGCCCTGGGTCCTTAACTTTCAGTTCGGAATCCTTAAGAAAAGCGCAGGGTCTTTAGTCTTCTGTCCTAAATCATTAAGTTTAAGAGCTGGGTCCTCAATCTTAAATCCGAAATCCTTAATTGTAGAGCTTGGTCCTTAATGTTTTGCTCCAGTATCTTCGGGCACATCACAGCAACGTCTGCGGTGCCCGTGGCTGCCTGCCGCAAGGTGCTGTGACGGGCTTGGGAGGTGCCTTCATAGACAAGCCTCAATTCGAGAGCTTGATCCTTAATTTCAAGCCCTGAATCCCCTCTCCCAAAGGGGCCGCGGCCCGTCACAGCAATGGCTCCGGCACTGGCGGCTTATGGCCGAGACACGGTGCTGTGGTGGGCTTTGGCGGAGATCTGGTTGGGGATGCCCCTGATATGGGCCCAAATGGGGGGTTCCCCAGGATTGGCCCGAAAGCACCCGACGTCCAATGAATTTGGAAGCGAAGTCATATGGCAGAAATGATCCCTGCATTTTTCAATCTTACGGCGGCCCTCTGTGGGGGTGCCCTGTGCCCTGGGTCCTTAATTTTCAGTTCGGAATCCTCAAGATAAGCGCAGGGTTTTTAGTCTTCTGTCCTAAATCATTAAGTTTAAGAGCTGGGTCCTTAATCTTAAATCCGAAATCCTTAATTTTAGAGCTTGGTCCTTAATGTTTTGCTCCAGTATCTTCGGGCACATCACAGCAACGTCTGCGGCGCCCGTGGCTGCCTGCCGGCGCAAGGTGCTGTGACGGGCTTGGGAGGTGCCTTCATAGACAAGCCTCAATTCGAGAGCTTGATCCTTAATTTCAAGCCCCGAATCCCCTCTCCCAAAGGGGCCGCGGCCCGTCACAGCAATGGCTCCGGCACTGGCGGCTCATGGCCGGGCCACGACGCTGTGGTGGGCTTTGGCGGAGATCTGGTTGGGGATGCCCCTGGTGGGGGCCCAAATGGGGGGTTCCCCAGGATTGGCCCGAAAGCGCCCGACATCCAATGAATTTGGAACGAATTCATGTGGCAGAAATGATCCCCGCATTTTTCAATCTCACGGCGGCCTTCTGTGCGGCGCCCGTGGCTGCCTGCCGGCGCAAGGTGCTGTGACGGGCTTGGGTGGGGCCTTCATAGACAAGCCTCAATTCGAGAGCTTGATCCTGAATTTCAAGCCCCGAATCCCCTCTCCCAAAGGGCCGCGGCCCGTCACACCAATGGCTCCGGCACTGGCGGCTCATGGCCGGGACACGGTGCTGTGGTGGGCTTTGGCGGAGATCTGGTTGGGGATGCCCCTGATATGGGCCAAATGGGGGGTTCCCCAGGATTGGCCCGAAAGCACCCGACGTCCAATGAATTTGGAAGCGAAGTCATATGGCAGAAATGATCCCTGCATTTTTCAATCTTACGGCGGCCCTCTGTGGGGGTGCCCTGTGCCCTGGGTCCTTAATTTTCAGTTCGGAATCCTCAAGAAAAGCGCAGGGTTTTTAGTCTTCTGTCCTAAATCATTACGTTTAAGAGCTGGGTTCTTAATTTTAAGTCCGAAATCCTTAAGTTTAGAGCTTGGTCCTAAATGTTTTGCTCCGAACCCTTAATTTTCGGTCCCAAACCTTTAATTTTAGACCAAACCCTTAATTTTAAAGCCGTGTCCTTAATTTTGGCTCCACAACCTTTCAGCCTGGTCCTTAATTTTGGGTCCCAAACCCTTAATTTTAGAGGCGGCTCCTTAATTTGGAAAGGATGGCAGGGGCCCTCGGTGCAAAGGCCCCTGGGTTTAGGGCTATCATTATAACGATTAATGGCAGCGGCCTTTTCGATTGCCGCGTGGACCTGCTGGTCCAGGACCTTCGGCTCGCCTTCCGGCCTTCGCCTACCGGTCCGCAGACGCCTTCCGGTCCGTCTGCTGCGACCGGCCCCTGTCGATGTAATGGGGCCGGTCTTCAGTTTAGGGGGTTTAGGGTTTAGGGTTTAGGATTTAGGGGGTTTAGGGTTTAGGGTTTAGGGTTTAGGGTTTAGGGGGTTTAGGGTTTAGGGTTTAGGATTTAGGGGGTTTAGGGTTTAGGGTTTAGGGTTTAGGGGGTTTAGGGTTTAGGGTTTAGGGTGAGCACTCTCAAAAAATCCTCGGTGTTTTGGAAGCCCTACTGTTGATGATATAAATCCTGCATTACCCACAATGAGGAATATACCATAGTCCCCATAGTCTAGGGTCCATAAGGTAATGCAGGATTTATATCACCAACCGTATCGGAGGACCACGAACCTAGACCCCCCAACTACCCTCTAATATACCCCAAAGACCTACCCAAAGGGTCCAAAGTACCGATATAGTAGAATATGGGGTTTCTATAATGGGAATTGCCATTATGATTTGGGGAAGTATTCCCCATAACAGTACATAGCACCATTTGGGCTACTATCGAGGGCCATTAGGGCTCCATGAAAGGGCCACTGGGGGTCCTGGAAGGGGCAGTCCTTGGGTTTCCCTTGTTCTAGAGTACAGTATACTAGGATGCCCAGTAGTACCCCTATTCCCTTTTTGTAGTCCTAGGTTCCTTATAAAGTTACCCAATACCAAAAAGAGAGGCCTTTTTATTCTTAGGTTACTGGGTATCCTAGGTACAGTATACCTTAGAAGGGGCCCCCCACCCTGTAATAGTGGTATAATAGGACTATAGTAGGGCCCTCATATGATCCTTATAGTCACTATTACAGGGTGGGGGCCCCTTCTAAAGTATACCCTCCAGTTCCAACATTATTCTATCCCCGAACATGTAACTGACGGTGAGCTCAAGATTCCGCATGCCCAAAAGCTGCGAAAATTAGCCAAAAGTCATCGAAACACGAACCTCTGAGCCCCAAACCTCGTTAGCCTATACCGCGCACACAGACGGAAAACCGTGAAACTTAACGGCCGTAATGCTTGAAGACTTGAAGCCAACATGAATGCCACTTGGGAGTTTCCGAAAATAGGGGACCCTAATGTAGTACCCTAACTAGTAGGATCCCTGTTATTTTGACCCCAGAATAGGTACCCCTAATTTTCGGAAACTTCTACTTAAACCTCGTTAAGCCGAATATTAGCAGCAGCTAAGCCTGTCAACCCCTCCCTAGAATCGTAAGGCCAAAACTCTTGCACCCTCCAGCCGCCCTAAGCCCCGGAAACCCCAAACCCCTGAGCCCCTAAACCCCAACCCTTAAACCCACCTAAGCCCCTATCGAAGCCTTAAAGGAACCCTTGCATAATACCCCATGAACGGAACCCGTTATAGTACCCTTTAAGCCCCATAAAAGCCCTTCGCGTTTTTTCTGCCTCAGTTGCAGGTGGCACCCCTCTACTCTAAAAGCCGTGCCGAGGTGCCAGGGAGCAGTTTTTCAAGGGGTCTCCGAGGGGTTTAGGGTTTAGGGTTCAGCAATTGGGGGTTATTAGAGTAAGCTTTGTTGCTGGAGGTACGAAAGGCTGAATTGTGACGTGGGATATAGTTATGTGGTGATGGCGAGGTGTGACCTTTTCGTTTGGGAGATGTCTGAAGGTGTGCAATCCTTGAGATTGGTGTGATTTAAAGCTCGACGCCTTAAACCTGCCGTGGGCAGGTTAACCAAGTCTTCGCGGCGCACGCGAAGCTGTGTGGCGAGTCAAAGGGTGATCGGCCGCGCATTGGCAGAAATAGAGCAAGCTCTTCCTTGTTCCGCTAACGGTTGGCAACGTGTTTTTGAGGGGTCTTCCTTGACTAAAAGGTGGATCGTCGCGTTATGTCGTGTTTCTGCACAGAAGCAGGGTGGCCTGCGGGAGTTTTGAGTCCTAGGAAATGGTGTACTGTCGGATGCAAGCCAGATGTAAACAGAACGAGTCTTCTTGTTCCTGTTACAATCGTAGTCGCAGTCGAAGTCGCGGCTGCACTCGCAGTCGCAGTCATTGTGGTTGTGGTTATGCGTGTGCGTGTGTGTGTGTGTGTTATGTTGCTGGCTCGACCGTTTGAATACAGGTGCATCTGTACAGGAAATACCGATCACCAACAATGGACATTTTTGAAGACCGTAGTCGCTGAAACCAGCTCATCTTGAATCAGAGCTATAACAGTAACATGACTGCTGGTAAATACTCATAATAATGCGATATTAGACTAGAGCCCTCTACCCTAAAAGAGTAGCTCTATACATTAGGGTCGTTTCAGGGTTCATTTTACAAGGGTACGCGTATTGTTATACTTAAGACTTTGACGGGATCCCTACTTCCCAAAGACTCCAAAACCCCTTATTAACTAAGGAATATACCTTACATAATGAATTAGGGATCCTGCTATAACATAACTTATGTTACATAAAGGGTATTCTTTAATGAAGGGATTTTGGTGTCTCTGGGTTAGAGGCGCTCAGGAGATCGAAGTCAGGTGTCGGTGCTCAGTGCATCCGCGGCCGCACCGCCACAAAGTCTGCCGGGCCCTTACAGAGTTCTTGCGACCCTAAACCCTATACCCCAAACCCTAAACCCAGAATCCTAAACCAAAAGCCCTAAACCCCAAACCCTAAACCCTGAATCCTAATCCTAAGCCCTCAACCCCAAACCCTAAACCCTAAACCGATGATGCTAGCGATGCTGAGAGTGGTAGGACTGGATGAGTGCCTATGCCAACTCGTCAAGCCCCGTTCAGGGCTTGGGTGGTTCGTGTTGCAAGCCAGCAAGAGCAATCAGCATGCATCCAGAATCCCACCTGACTTTCTGTACTGTAAGAACCTGATTCAGAAACCCTGGGTCTTTATTCGGGTTCTTTATATGGATCCTACTATCTTGGGGTAATAGGGCCAGGTTTTCTTAATCTGGTTCCTACATTAAACACTACACCGCAAACGGACCACCAGGCCCCATCGATGTGGCTGCTTCCTGGCTGCAACTTCGTCAGGGTTCCAATCTCGACGATGTTTACTCGGATGTGTTTTGGGGTTGTTTAGCGTTCAGTTTTTTCGGGTTTAGAAGCACCTCCTCCCAAAAGAAACGGCTGTGGTGCACATCTGCAGGTCTTCAGACTGTTCAAATGTATTGGCGCTTCAGATGCTTTGGGTTCGCCCGGGTCTTTTACGGGGTACGTAGGCTACAGGTCGAACTGCACAACTTCGAGATTTTTGAAGCATCTTCTGGCAAAGAACAGAGAGAGCTCATGTGCCCTAAAGCCGGACACCCTGAGACTGTGAAAACCGATGACCGCAACTCCGGTTACACTTCCGCTGATGCCTGTAAACTTTACAGATTCGGTGTCAGCTTCGCTGTGCTTGTGGCATTGGGGTTTAAGGTAAACGAAGCCCAAATCAAATTATCTGCCAGCCGGTGCCCAGAACTGTGTCGAGGCGAATCCCATCAGCACCTTATGGTTCAGGGCCTAGGACCCCCTAGGATACCCAGTAACCTAAGAATAAAAAGGCCTCTGTTTTTGGTATTGGGTAACTTTATAAGGAACCTAGGACTACAAAAAGGGAATAAGGGTACTACTGGGCATCCTAGCCCCTATAAACCCTAAACCCTATAGCACCCTAAACCCCTCATAAAACCTAAAACCCTAAACCCTTTGTAATCCTTAGGCCCAGAACCCTAAGCACCCCATGACAGCCCCTACACCCTAAACCCTAAACCCCCATGAAAGCCCCTAAACCCCCAACCTCCATGACAGCCCTAAACCCTGAACACCCATTGAAAGCCCAGCCCTATGACGCGCGAAAGGTAAAGTCGATCGCCTAATTTGGGGCCCTATAAGGGTACTTTATGGATCCTCCCGGGGGTCTGGGCGAAAGGTAAAGCTGCCCGTGGCGATGGGAACCTTGCAAGTCATACAGCGAGCACAGGCTGCGCCAAATCTATTAGGGTTGAGGGTTTGGGGTTTAGGGTTGAGGGTCTAGGGTTGAGGGTTAGGGGTTTCTGCAAGGGTTCCTTTAAGGGATCTGTAAGGGCTCTCATTAGGGATTCTTGTAAGGGATCAGTAGGGGCTGTCTTGGAGGGTTCCTTTAAGGGATCCACGGCGGTTCTCTTTAGCGGTTCCTTTACGGGATCTGTGGCGGTTCTCTTGAAGGGTTCCTTTAAGGGATCTGTAAGTTCTTTTTTCAGGGTTCCTGTAAGGGTTTTCCGAAAGGCGTCCTTTGAGGGTTCCCTTGTGGGACAGGTAAGGCGACAGTTTGCATGCGGGTTGCTGATGGCCGGTATACAGCATTTCGCTTGGGGGTGTGAAGGCTTCTGCAAGGGGTTCATGCTGTTGAAGAGGAGGTTGGAGGCTTCAACCGTTCGTAGCTAGTGAGTCCTTCAAGCTTCAATGTAAACCCCAACCCCTAAGCTGTAAGCCCAAAACCCATCAACCCTACACCCGAAACCTTCGGCCCTCACCCCCCTTTGCCGGCATCCCGACGGATGTGAAGGGTTCCTTCAGTAGTGCTATAAGGGAGCTTAATATAGTACCCTAAATAGTAGGATCCTCATTATGAGGACCCTGAAATAAGGTACCCCTAAATTCGGAAGTTCCCAATAAGGTCCTTATAATGAGGTGTTTATAGGGCTTCTACAGGCTTTAGGAATCCAAAACCCTAAACCCTAAACCGCAGGGTTTGTCTGGACCAGGAATCCCTGCCGGTGGCCGAGTGGGCCAAAGGAACTTCGCTCACTTGGCTCCCGCCGGACCGCCGCTGGCTGTGTCAAGGTTAACCCTTTGGTTAGTAGGGAATGGAAGAATGGTAGTAAGAGTAGTTATATAGTAGTAATATGGTAGTAGAATGGTAGTAATATGATAGTAATATGGTAGTAAGTGTAGTTACAATTGTTTCCCATTCCTCCATTCCCTCTAACCAAAGGTAAGTTAAGAGTTTGGAGCTTCGGCTATATGGTGAACCCCAGAAAGTTGGGACATTGATTTAGGATGATTCCCTATACTTTACCTAGAGGGCATGAGGATAACTGGCTTCTACTATAGGTTTTCAGGTTCAGAGTTTAGGATTTGCGGTACACTTGCATGCTGTTTAGGAAATCCGCCGATGGAGTGTGTTTCCGATTCGCGATGCGTCTGCACAGCGGGGAAAAAAACTAGTAGCACAATGGTAACTCTCATATTGCGACGATGCCGCTGACGACGACGGCGGCGACGAGGACGACTCACGCTACCCGTGCTAAGTGCTATACTACTAGTAACTAAATAGTACTGCTGCTGCCAATGTTGAGCCTGTTGCTGCTCGGGCCTTTCGCTGTGCGCGCAGGATCCTGATGTCACTGTTCAGCATGCCAGTGAGCCGGCAAGCGCAGCTCAGGAAGCGGAGTAGTATGGAGTCTACGTAATTGCAAAAGACATTCCCCTTTCGTTCCTGTATAAGTGTACTCCAATAGAGTCCTTAAGGCTATTCGAGTTACCGTAAACCCTAAACTTTCTTCTAGCTACTACGGCCCTTTCTCAAGTTTCTATAAAGGCATGGCACGCTTCCAGATCATCAAAGAGTTGGGCTTAAGGCTATGTGAATGGTAGCAGCTGCCATGGCTCACAGGTTACATCTTAGCAAATCGGGCTTCGGGGGTCGAGCTTAGGGCTTAGGGTTTACCCAGAGGCCCCAAAGTAGTTCCTTTTTTGGGGTTCATATAGAGAACCCGATTCGGTAATCCCAAAAAAGGAGCTACGTGGGGGCCTTAGGGTTCAGGGTTTTAGTTGCAGGGGGGCGCCCTCAAAATCGAAGGTGCCGCACTGCGTGTACAAAGTCATCCTCGTGCTTGCTTAGGGACCTGGAAAGCTGCTCTCGTAACGGTTTTTTTTGAGGGATCCTTAAAGGGATCCTTAAAGGGATCTAAAAGGGTTCTATACAGGGTTTAGGGCTTAGAGTTTCCGAAAATCAGGGGTACCTTATCTTGGGGTCATTTGTAATAAGGATCCTACTCTTTAGGGCGCTAGATTAGCGTCCCCTATTTTCGGAAACTCCCCTTTGAGTGATTGTTAAAAGTATGGTCCCATTTGGGGTCTCTAAAAATGATACGGTACCTACGATTTAGGGTACCAAAAGGGACCCCCAGTTTGACAACTACCCATTTCAGTTGTGGTTGTGATAGAGCCACGGATCCGCTGAAGGGTTTAGTCTCATGTAAGGGGTGTAGGATATTTCGTTATGAGCACTACTATTCCAGAGGGTTCCTGCTTATGGCATCAGTAGCATTTGCCCCTTACCCTATTCTAATGATGAAACCACCCTGCCTCATGTACGGGTCATAGGGACCCTTGGGGGAGTAGGGGAGGGGGGTAGGGGGCCTCATGCCCACAATAGGGATCTAATAAGGCCCATTTAAGGCAGTATAGTCCCTACCCTCCTCCCCTTACCCCCCTAAGAGACCCTATGAATGTGTTTAAATTCAGACCTATGCCTTGGGAACTTTCGCTGAAAGGAACACTCGGCCTTGAAACCGCAAACCTCAAACCCCTTCTGCAGGGCAACATCGGGTGACATAGGGGCCTACATGTCCAACATCGTATTTGTATTCCTTGGGGCGTGCTTTTACAATTACTGTATAACATGCGACAATGACCTTATGCTTATTCTAATCGTGAAAGCCCCATACTATGGTCTTCGGAAGGCTGAGGAGGCTTTGGTTGCTAGGGCCGGGGCTAGCTAGACCTCTAAGCCCCTCAACCCCCATCTAAACCCAAAGCCCTAAACTCCTAGACCCTAAGCCGGTTCAAGAGGTTTTGAGGTCAGAGCCCTATCTGTCCCACCTCTCGTCCACACACGGCCCTGGTCCTGATAATATCTGCTTTTATGATTTAGAGGGTTTAGGGGTTTAGGGGCTTAGGGTTTAGGGGCTTAGAGTCTAGCGTTCACGGGTTTAGGTTTTACAGTGCGGTCAAAGACCACAGCTTCAGCGCGTGAATCATAAGACTTCCTAATATAGGAGCCTTCAGAGCGAGAATGTGGGTTTTCTGGTATATCATACTATAATGAGTATGAGGAACCACAAAAATAGTATTGGTCATGTTGGGGTCTCCATGCTTCTCTTTGTGTAAACACTCTACAAACCGACACCTTGCTACAACAGCCTGAGGACTTCATTCCCTCGGAGTATCTGTGTGACCATTACTAGCGCTGTACCCGACGCTCTTAACCTTATAGAAGCCTAAATAACTACCAAGTCCATCCGGAGTCATAAGTTCCTTTTCATCTCTATCTCTCTCTCTCTCTCTCTCTCTATATATATATATATATACACATACATATACTTACATGTCCAAGGCGGTAAAATTTAAGCTGCAGAGGTGGGCATTGAAGTAGTGTAGAGGGCTGGGGCCTGAGGCATACCTTGACGGCCGAGCACATTTTCCTGCCACCGGAGGCGCCATATAATCCTAAACCCAGGGTTTGGGGCCTCGGGACCTTAACCCCGAACCTGCCCGTTTACTGATTCATATAAAGGAATCCGAATCCTAAACCAGGGCATAGGGCTTGGGGACCCAAGATAAATCTGCCCTTTGTCGGACTTATATCAAGGAATATATGAAAAATCTCGACCGTAACCCTACACCCTAGAGCCTAAACTAGATCCGAAACCCTACACCCTAGACACTCAAACCCAAAAAGCCGAGGCCGCCTGGAAAGCCGAAGGTCATTTACATATAATGCAGGAAATTATATGTATATATATATACACACACATATCTATGTGTGTGTATATATATATCTATATATATATATATATATTGCTATATATACTTACATATAATCATTTATATATTTATATATAATCATATATTTATGTATATATATATATAACTTTATATATCAGCAAATGCATGACTCTGACAAGGAACGGTCCGAGGCGAACCGTAAACCTTGGGCTAGACCGGAGACGGCAACGCCCGACATCTCGACGCCTTTACTTGGAGGTTCATGGGTGGTTATAAGGGCTCCTTTAAGGGCCCCTTTAAAGGGATCTATAGGGATATTAGGGTATAGGGTTTAGGGCCTACTTGGAGGTTCATGGGTAGTTATAAGTGGGGTTATAAGTCCCCTAATATGGGTTATAAGTATAGTTACCCTACTTATAACCCTAATTGTAACTACCCATGAATCCCCAAGTAGCCCTGAAGCTTACCCCAATATAAGCCTGGAGGGCTTCGATTAGGGTCTAGGGTTGTGGGTTCAGGGTTTATGGTTTAGGGTTTAGGGTTTAGGGTGGCCAACACCCGGCTTAACCGCATGCCCAACACCCGATCTTAAAGACAATGAAGCCAAGTAAACCTGTTGACGGGCCGTTTAAACGTCAGACCCTAGAAAGCCCTAAAGCCCGCAATCCCCAAAACCATGCAAGAGTCTGAAAGAAAAACGCACTCAGACTGAATGCGCCCAAATTGAATCTGAAGCCCTCATACTAAAGGGTTCGGTACTGTAACCCTCTTCTCAAAAAGCACACGCACAGGAAAAAACACAAAACCCTTATTCCTCAACTACAGCCCATAATTTTGGCCCCCAAACCTCAAGGACTGCTAAAGAACCTCTTGATCAGGGCCTCTCCATGCCACTCAGCATCATCGGTTCCCAGACTTGCGGCGTACAGGCACATCAGGGGACCTATATTACCAGCTTTAGGGTTTAGGGTTTGGGGGTTGTGGGTTGCAGGGATTTAGGCCACTATGTGACGGGTTTGAAGCTGTCGCCGGTCCCCTGTTTCCGGTGCGTCCTTACCCTTTTTCATGTTTTCGGCGTTGAGACTTTTAGTTCTTTGATCCCTTGTCTGCACAACCAAGTTTTCATAGCTCATGTAGGAACCTGATTAAGAAACCTTGGGCCTCTATTAGGGTTCCTTATATGACACTGTTGTTTTAGGGGTATAGGGGTATAGGTCCAGGGTTTCTTAAGCAGGTTCCTATCTTAAACCCCCTAAGCCCTATGAACTCTAAAACCCTACAGATACCTTATGGAACCCTTATAGATCCCCTTTAAAGGAACCCTAGAGATCCCTACATTGGTTCCTACCTTACATTATTATAGTACCCCTTATAGATCCCGTTTAGTACCCCTTATAGATCCGAAAAGTGCCCCTTATAGATCCGTTGTAAGAGCCCTTGCTGATCCCTTGTAGTAGCCCTTCTCGACCCCTTGAAAGGAGCCCTAACTTCCCATAACATTACGATCCTAAACTCCGAGACGACAGCTTCGCACCTCCTCTTCAGCCCTAAGTCTTGGCCCTGACAGTAAACTCTAAACCATACACCCTAGAACGGTTAAGGTTTCGGGGTTTAGGGCTTAGGGGTTTAGGGTTTAGGGTAAATAGCGGATGGCCTAAAGCCAGAATTTATTTGGGCTTTAGAGGTTTCGGCCAGAATGTTGATTATTCCTTCGACTGATGGTTCCTCACAATACCCCCCCAATATTAAACAATTCAAAGTCGTGATAATAACGCACCCCCCCGAAGTTGTATAACACACGCTTCTTTGCCACTGGTAAAAAGCTATAAAGCGCTTCTAGAACCCTGTGAAGCGCTTCTATCTGTCCCTAGTAAGAGCATCGCCAACAGGGTAAACCCTCTACACCTGCCCCTGCAACACCTCTCCAAACATGATAATCAACCCTATAGACCTCTTAGACGGGCCCTAAACCCCATAAGCCTTAAACCGTCTACAGTCTACACCCTGCTGCTCCAAACCTTCTCTAAACCCTAAACCTCTGAACCCTAAAGCTCTAAAGCCAAGACCCTAAACCTCTAAACCCCAAACCCAAATCCCTAAGCCCTAAATCTCTAAGCCCTAAACCCTAAACCCAAACCCTAAACCCCTATAGATCCCTTATAGGAACCTTTAAAGGAACCCTTCAAGATCCCTCTACCGGAACCTTTAAAGGAACCCTTAAAGATCCCTCTGCCGGAACCGTAAATGCTGAGATGGAGCTGCCTCTCGACGGCCTCAGATTCGTCTGCGCGGCGCCTCCGGGTACCCGGGCGCCCCAGGAAGGAGAGGAGGCCAAAAGGGAGGGGGGAAAGGCTTCCTTTCAGGGTTTAGGGTTTTAGGGTTTGGGGTTTTAGGGTTTAGGGTTTGAGGGTTTATGGTTTTAGGGTTTAGGGTTTGAGGGTTTAATTATAGGGAGAGGAGGACCGCTTTTGGGGGGTTTGAGCTTGGGGTTTAGGGTTCAGGGTGCGCAGGGCCCAGGTTTTCAGGGGTCTCAGGCTCTAGACTTCACCGCATCATTCGAAATTTCAGCCTGCCGTCGAACGGCCAGCATTGGCTAGAAGAAGACATTGAACATTAATTCCTGCCCCTAAACCCTCCAAAAAATCCTAAGCCGCCCAAATCCTCCACCCTGCCTAAACCCCAACCCTAAACCCTAAACCCTAAACCCTAAACCCTAAACCCCAAACCCTAAACCCAAAACCCCAAAACCCTGAACCCTAACCCCAAAAAATCAGCGAGGCCTTTGCGGATCTTTGGCTGGTGGGAGGAGTGCGGGCCCCACTCTCGCGGGGCCCTGGGCTCCCCCCTTTTAGGGTTTAGGGTTTTGGGGTTAAGGGTTTTTTTTGGGTTTAGGGTTTTGGGGTTGAGGGTTGTTTTAGGGTTTAGGGTTTGGCTGGTTAATGAGTTTTTTTTGTGATTTAGGGTTTAGGGTTTTGGAGTTTAGGGTTTTTTGGGCTTTGTTTTGGGGTTTGGGTTTTAGGGGTTAGGGTTTGGGGGGTTCATTAGGGTTGTTTTGTGTTTTAGGGTTTAGGGTTTTGGGGTTTAGGGTTTTAGGGTTTAGGGTTCAGGTGTTAGGGCCCTTGAAAGGATCTGAGTTGTTTAAGGATTAGGGGGAGGGGTTTTGGGGTTGTGATTGATCAGGGTTTAATATGTAGGTGCCCTAGTAGTACTCTTTTGCGTGTTCTTGGGTTCCCTTATTCAAACCAAACAACAAAAACTGTTCTAACGGGGCCACCGGGGACCCTAGAAGGATCTGACACATTTTCGGAGTCGTGGCTTTGCAAGGGTGCAGTTTAGTGTCCTCATGGCCTTTTGTCGTGCCCCCTTTTGTGTAAGCCTGGTATGTTTATCATCCCTGAAGCAACCTGGGGGTTTCCAAAAATAGGGGACCCTAACATAGTACTCTATATAGTAGGATCCTTATTATAAGGACCACAAAATAGGGTACCCTAATTTTCGGAAGCTCCCACCTAGATTTGACCCTTGTCTGACATTACCTGAATGGAGCCTGCATAAGCGCAGGTCTATAGGGTTGGGTCAGGGTTTGGGGTTTGTGGGCATGGGCTTTAGCTATAGGGCTTCAGGGTTTAGTGTTTTTTTTTTTTTTTTTACGTTGGTTTTGGGGTTTTTGGGGTTGCTCTTCTACCCTGTAAAGGATCCTCAAGGATCCTGGACGACCGAGTTGAAGCAAATTGTCATAAGCTAACTAAGTTCAGTGTCACTTCAAAGAATGTTTAGCCCCTAAGTGTAGGGCTGGGCTAAATAAGCCCTAAACCCTAAACCCTAAACCCTAAACCCCTAAACCGTTGACCCTAAACCCTCAGCGCCAGCCTCATCTCGCAAACCCTAAAACCCTAAGTCGTAAACCCTAAGCTCTCAACCCGAGGCTCTACTCGGAGGGTCGGGGGACTTGGTAACTGGTTATTTTAGGGACTTTTAAGTACCACAACTCCAATTAGGGTCCCTTTTAGGGTACTGATAAGTCTACTTACTACCTACTTACTAAGTCCCCCGACCCTCCAAGTAAACCCCAAAACCTAAACCCTCCACGTCTTTCACAAGTACAGCACTGTTACAGTCCGCGAGTGCGCTGGCAAAGATCTGCATGGTGGTTTCCGCAACTCGCATTACCCCCAGGCGGTGTTGGGCCTGCCAAAATTTCAGGGCGGAGGGCTCTCGATTCAGACACCTAGTGGGTCGGCTCCAGGGTCTTACCTGGGCCAACAATGACAAGTACGGGGGGCAAGTCGTCCACCTCTGTAACGAACCGTGCTTGTTCAGCGGCAAGTCGCTGTTGCCACGGGATAGAACCATGGGAAGGCGGACGAGTAATTCTGGTAGCATTCACAGTTATGTTGGGACAAGTCAAACGGTATCGCCATATTGACGCAGCTGCCATTGCTGAACGCAGGTTCGATGCTGTTGGGCTTGACGCAATCAAGTTCGGACAGCCCCCTGGATTCTCGATTTCGTCTTCACACAGACCGCCCGTCAGTGTTTGGCACGCCAGGGAATGGCGGAGGAAGCAGGAGAGCACTGAGCGCACAAGGGAGGGGGTGGAACGCAGAGAACATGGAAGCCTGTTTTTTGGCCACAGCTTTGGGTTTTTGAGGTTGTGTTTTTGAGTTCCGGTTGTTGGGTTGCGCCTTTGGGAATACAGTGAATACAGCCCCTCAAACAGGTAAATTCTTGTTAAGGTTGAGTTGCGAGTAAGGGGGCCCCTACATTTAAGGCCTGATTTGGAGAGCCAAGCGGACAACCAGATAACATCCCGATAGGCCCCTATCCAAAGCCTAGCTTTTCAGGAGCTGCTGCGGAACCTAGTCAAGTGATTGAAAAACAACAACCAACCTTTAGCACATCAGGCTTGATTTGTCGGTGATTTCGAGGATCTAAGATAGGGGTCTGAATAAATATTGATACTCGTGTCTGAGGTTCCCTAGAGTTAGAAAAGCCTCATTCTCATCACCAAGGCCCCAGTGCAGTACGACCCTCCTTAAAGACCACTTTAATTAACGGAGCAGGGTTCTACCTAATCTGGCCCTATAATATGGGGGCCTTAAAAATTACCAATACTATTTTGGAGGTTCCCTATTATAATGATAGTGTAATATATCCCCAAACCCTATTCTGATTCTTAAGGCCTCTGTATTATGTGGGTGGTTGTCAAAAATATGGTCCCTTTTTGGATTCCTAATAAAGTACGGCACCTCATATTTAGGGTACCCAATAAAGGGACCCTAATTTTGACAACTACCCACATCATTTAGAAGCTGCCCCCACCCTGAAATAGTGGTATAATAGGATTATAATAGGAATATAATAGGGCCCTAATATATAATCCTTATAGTCACTATTACAGGGTGGGGGCAGCTTCTAAGATATCATATACACGCCCTTATTCGTCCAAGGATCTTGCTGCCTGGCGTGCCAGCCAATGGGCCCCTCCCGTGGACGCTGAGGCGTGGCTTCGTCTGGGCTTGAAAGGGTCCCTTAAGGGTTACTTGAGGGGATTCCTGCAAGGGCTCCTTGAAGCACTGCATGTTAGTTTATCCGGGAACAACTTGACGTTTTGCTGCTTCGGAAAATCGTTCTTTTGGGTGGATTCTTGTCTGCCTTACAGAGGGGCCCGAAGAATCAGAGTAGAGGTTCTTCATTCCTCTCTGAGGTTTCGCTAGTGAAGCGACGATAGTCTGGGACGCCGCGGAAAGCCTCCACCGCACAGGCGAGTAGTGGAAAGGGCAGCAGAAGAGCCATTACCCAAGAAGTGCTGAGAGAGACCCCCACCGAGAATGTGGCCTGCGGGCAGAGGAGAGATCTAGAAGGCGCGGTACACGTCCCCCACATGCATTCAAGAAGGATTTGCGGAGGTAGGGCTTCGGGCTTGGAAGCTTCAGGTTTGTAGATAAATAAAAAGTGCGAGGTCTTAGGTTGAGCTATCATGGGGCACCTATGGGCACCTGATGCATTAGAAGGTCTTTACAGGGATGTTGTACACTTCTTGTAGGTTCTTGCAGTTTCAATTAGGGTCTTACGTAGCTTTGTACAGGTTTGTCTTGTGTTGGGTACACGGTTTGATAAGAGTTGTGCGTAACAGTTTGATGATTTAGGGGCGTGGGAGACAAGATGGCAGAATGTTTGTTGAAAAGGTGATCCCCACATGCTCCCCAAACTCTTAATCCCAACTTCGCAAGGCAAGCTCTACGCAACTGCTGACCCACAAGCAAAGCTTTTTTACTCCAGTCAGAAGCAACCCTTCATACTTGAACATTGCAACCCTCACAGGGCGGCACCCAACCGCGCATGGGCCTTTCAGACCTCCAGGTTGTATCATAAAAGCCCACCCCCCAGGTTTTAGGGTCTAAAATCCTCCACAGCGCAAAGAAGAACAGTCTAAAATTTAAGCAAAGCCGCGATGTCCAGCGCTTTCCAAGAGCCCAGAGCCCTACAGCCCTAAAGTGAACAACGCCCGTTTCGTTTCAGGTTGACACTAAGCCCTTGCACACCCCCAAAGCCGTAAAGGAGTTGTTGTTTGGATTTGCCATGAACCCCGAAGCTTCAACTTTCAACTCCTAAACCCCAAACGTCCACTCCTAAACTCCAACCTAAACTTACAGCAGCCTGAATCGGAAATATTTACAATCCCCTTGCAAGGAACCGCTACAAGTTGAGACTTTTTGTTTCCTTTTCTTGAGGTTTGGCTCTGGGATGGGGAGCTCCAGCCGTCCAGCGCCGCGAGCCCGCTTAGGATCTCTGCCGGGGCCGCTGCCTTGGCACATCGAGGGGCTTCATAGGGGCTCCTCCCTAAGAGCAAATATTATTAGATCTTATGCATATGAGTAGGGTTCCTTCATGATTTATGAGGGTTAAATTGTTAGGGTTCCTTTATAAGTTGCTTTAGTTCAGGGGGTACTATAAGGGTCCCTTTCAAGGGCGCTTCTTCGTAGGGGCTCCTTTCCAAACCCTGAAAGGGGATGCTGCGCGGGTTCCTTTTAAGGGTCGCTTTTCGGGTTGCTATTTGGCTTCCTAAGGATTCTTTTAATTTAAGGTTCGTGTAAAGGGTACTTGAAAGGCCTCCATTGGGGTGTTCATTCGGGTGGGTTTTCTATCTTTTCGTGGGAAGGAATTTTTGGAACACGGAACTATGGGATACAACATGTGTGTACCATGTGAGATTGTTGACAACATTACTGTTAGTGTTTCTGTTTTTGCTTGTTGAGGCCCTAAACCCTGAACCCCGAAACCCCTAAACCCCTAAACCCGAAACCCTAAACGTGTTCCTTGTGGCACGTTCGGGAGGCTCCTGAGCCCAAGTTAAGTTGGACGCTCAAACCCAAAGCCACCTGCATCCGAGTCTAGACTGTTTCGATTCGCAAGATTGGTCCTTCTGGAGAAAGCTCTTGGGACTTGGGTCTGTCCTGACAGTGGACACCACATGGATCTACAGCTTCGCGAGCCTGACCACGCCCGGAATGTTCGCCACAAAAATCACAGACGTCCTGTTGGAGGGAGAAAAGCTGTCTGGGAAGAAAACGGTTTTATTGGAGAAGCCGACGTCGCACGCCAGAGCAAGGAATGTACCGAAACATGGGCGCGTACGTATCAGAAATCACAGCAATGTCAGCTGCGAAGCTTGTGTGCGGTTTTATAGCATTCATTCATCCTACGTACTTGGGAGCAACATAAGAGTGCCGCGTATTCTTGTATCATCTGAAATTATTGCTGTAGGATTCGGAACAATTGGAAATTGTATCCCCGTACAACCCTGGCTCAGTCTAGTACATGATACAGGAGATACACCCAAAACCTTGTTCGAATTACCTACCCCCCCAAAAAAAACTCCATTGAACCGCGCAAAAACTTCGGTGCGATGGCTTCAGGTTCTAAGCCGCCAGTGGCGAACCGGGAGGCAGGGAAGCTAGCAAGAGGGATGCTGCTTTTGGGGTTTGGGGTTTCGGGTTTTACGGGTTAGGACTTAGGGTTTTGGGTGAGACTGTTGGGGTGTCGCTGACTTGGTCACCCAGTCTTTTGTGAACTAGTTAATATTGGGTCCCTACATTTCCCGTACATGTCCCTACCAAAACCTAATTGTCAGGAACGAGGTTACCCTAATCTTGACTCAGATCTCTCCAGTAAACTACCATTACCCTCGTTTTCAGCTCGTTGGACTGTTATCCTGGCTCTGTTCGTGATGCTAGTGATTAAACACCCAGCTTCCAGTGTAGAGGACAGTTCTGATTCGAAGTGATCGAGTGACATCCTTGTCAGTGAGAGCATTGCCTTGTTGGCTTGTGTTTTGCCCAAGCCCTAAACTTCAGTGTTGGTCCGAAGCCTCACACCCAAGTGCAGTGTACCAACTGTAGGTGTGGCCTTAACCTAAACCCTACCCTAACGCCAAGCCCCTAAACAGGGACCCTAGACCCTAAACCCTGAGCCCTAATCTAACCTAAGCCCGACCCTAGTAGTAGTAGTAGTAGTAGTAGTAGTAGTAGTAGTAGTAGTAGTAGTAGTAGTAGTAGTAGTAGTAGTAGTAGTAGTAGTAGTAGTAGTACTAGTACTAGTAGTAGTACTAGTACTAGTACTAGTACTAGTAGTAGTAGTAGTACTAGTAGTGACACCGAACCCTCAGTCGTCAACCTCAAGAACCCAGAACCGGAAACCATCAGCCTTAAACTCTACACCCTCCAATTCCTAAGCCTTAAAATCTTTAACCCCGAGCCCAGAGCCTTAGCCCTGAAGCCTCAAACCCTAAAACCCTAAAACCCTAAAACCTTCACATACTCTCCAAAATCCTAACCTACATAACTCCTGTCCTAAAACCGAGTACCTAATTATTGGGTCCTCTGGATTTTTGGGGTAAACCCTAAAACCCTAAAACCTTCAGAACCCTTTCAGGACCGGGGATGCCCTTGAGGAGGGTTCGGAGCTCAGTGGCGCTGCGCACTCGAAGTCAGGGTTCAGGGTTCAGAACGGGTCTGGGGGTTTGGGTTTTTTTTGGGTTTAGGGTTTTGGAGTTTAGGGTTTACAGATTGGGGCTTGGGGTTCGCGGTTTAGGGTTCAGGGTTTGGGTTTGGGGTTCATGGTCAGGGCTTGCGGGTTTATGGCTTAGGCTTGCGGGTTCAGGAGTTACTTTCCAGCTAGCACAGCTGAAGATGGATGGCGTCACGCAGTCAACTCAGGCACACAGCTTGAAGGAGTGAAAGGCAGCCCAACATGATAGCCCCCAAGAGCTTGTCGAAAGGCCCGAGTTCCTAACCTTCAGCCTCCCTCAAAACTAAACCCTGACCAGTGTGCACCACTGTGTAGTGATCGCCTGACGAGAAAGTCCCAACCACAGCCTTAAAACACAAGAAACGAAACCCCCAACCCCCTAAACCCCAAAACCCCTAAGCCCTAACCTCTAAAGCACTAGACCTGAGCCCTAAACCTCCAAAGCACTAGACCCTAACCCCTAAACCCCGCTAAATCCCTACCCTTACTCTCGCTCCTTTAAAGGAACCTACAAGGCCCTTTAAAGGCCTACCTTTACTATAGATCCTTTAAAGGAACCTACAAGACAAGACCCTTTAAAGGACCCGACTGGACCCTAAGCCCCCGAGACATAAGCCGTGGCTCAGTTTCGGATTTCAGGTCCATCGGACGACCTGGAGGCGATCCTAGTCTTCCCTGACATACGGGCCTTAGAAACCCTAATCCCTAAACCCTAAACCCTTTAAAAAAAAACTATAAGCCCTAAACCCTAAGAAGATCGAAAAGGAGCCCTTAGAAATCAAAAAACAACTAAGAAGTAGACGAGGGTGTCTTTAAGGGGCTACTTTAAAAGGGATCTTTACAAGGGCAAGCCATCCCCAACCATCGTCTAGTTTGTGGGTTTTGTTGGATTCCTAAGCCCCAACTGGGTTGTCCTTTGGGATCTTTGTAAATTTCCCTTACTATTTTGTAGAGAACCACAATAGTAAATGATTTTCAAGGGGCTTAAAGGACAACTCGGCGCAAAAGCTAGCCCAACGCCCTTAATTTATGTTTTTGTGGGGGGGGGGGGGGGGGGGGAAGTTTTCTAGCCATCACCTAGTGTCTTTGCTTCTGTTGCGTGGGTTTGCGGTGTAGGGTTGAGAGTCCAGGGATTTTAGGATTACTGTCAGTTGTGTCTTTTCTCATTGTGGTGCTACGGTTGTTTAAGATGGTGCGGGGGATTCTATACGACTTCATGCGGATAGTTGCATGGTAGTGCGCGGGTTTTTTTCCGGGTGGCTGAGTTGCGATAAAATGTCTGATTTATCGGGTCTTTTGTAATGCCTGTTTTTATGGTCGGGTATGCCCAAAAACCCATTCCAATTATTCAGGCGCCTACACGAGACTTGCCGCCGTTCCATGTCTGGCTGCCAGGCAACCTCACCGAGCTCAAGACCCTGCACTTTCGCAGGCTGCCGTTGCACAATCCGTTTAAATTTAAGTACGGCATCTAAAGAAGTAGGGCTAGGGTTTAGGGTCCTCAGTTTAGGGTCAGGGTTCAGAATTTTTAGGGTGAGACCGGCCTCCGCGTTCGGGGTTTTATGCAAGCAAGAGGCAGCTATCGTTTTAATTCTTGATAGGTCGTTTCTGCTCGAAGTCAGACAATCACCCTGAACGACGCGACACAAGTGCCACATCCAGCGTGCCTCCCCTAGTTGTGAAGATGCTCTACCAGCAGATTCAGGGGGCTGTGGCCGGACGTATAAACCGAAGTATGCAAGGATGGTGCGTCGAGCATGGCCCAGACCACCTTTTTTTGGCACACGCTTGGCAATTCTTGATGCAGAACCAGCTCGGTAGATGATCTAGGATGCCCAGTAGTGCCCTTATTCTCTTTTTGTAGTCCTAGGTTCCTTATAAAGTTATCCAATACCAAAAAGAGAGGCCTTATTATTCTTAGGTTACTGGGTATCCTAGTGATGCAACAGTCGCCGGAGCTCCAGGTGGTTCGGATTGGGGTTATGTCTGCCTTAGCCCAAAACGCCCGAACACTTGAAGGTCAAAACCTGAAGCCTTACACGGTTGAACATGAAGACCCTACCTGGACCCCAAAAGTATGTAGAACAATGGCCTTTTATAGGTATTGGGCCATTATTTTACCTACTTTTGGGGTTTAATAACACCCAAACCCCCGATGCCAGATGCCTTGTCTGCCCCGGTTGCTGCACTGGGCCCTTGGCAAGTGGTGCTTCGGCCGCAAAAGTGAAGATGTGGGCTTGAAGTTTGGGCATTTTTTGGATATGAGATTGTTCTATCTTCTAAAAATCTAACAACCATATCCATTGGTTTAGAATAGTTATCATCATTTCTTGATATATATTCTCATGTAAAGTTTGGAAACGCTTGAGTGGACCCTTGTGGCCGATCGCAGGGATCGGGGCCTTGGGGTTTCGGCGTTTTCAGGGCTCGGGAGAAAGGCGGTGAGACCCATTACCAACAAGCCGCGCTCCCTTAAGAGCGAGCTTAGACGGAGTGACTAGTAGTAAAGTTTGTGATCTTCAGAGATGGGAGGCACGTCAACCAGAAGTCTACAAGGGAGGCATTGAATAAAGGGATGGCGCCCTATAACCACCACGGCTCTACTACTGCTACTGCTGCGGCTACTGCTACTGCTGCTGCTACGGCTATCACTACTACTACTTCTACTAGTATGACTACTACTACTACTACTACTACTACTACTACTACTACTACTACTACTACTACTACTACTACTACTACTACTAAATCCTGCCCACATGGCCGAGGTGCTGCATGCCGCCCGCAGCTCGAGCGAGTGCGTAGTTGCGCGCCATCTTCTCAGCAATGGTTAATGGTTGGTGGCTTCTTAAGAACGTTGTTGTATAGAGTAATGGTCATTGTCTTTCGTGGAAGAGATGGGTTGTATAGGAGTCTTTTGGAATTAAGCGTATCTTGTTTGCGGTCCTTGTGATACGGATCCCCGCAATTGTTGTTTACCGTAGATCCAGAACCTTAAAAAACCTCTACATGGGAGTATTAGGGTCCTTCTATTCAGGGTCCTATATTAGGGTCCCCCATTCTTAAACCCTTAAGCTACCAGTAGAGAGTTCCTCGACATGAGGAAGAACAGCCAGCCGTTGGCTATCCGGGAGCCTCAGGAAGTCTCCGGGTTTGTACTCGGGCCCTCTAAGGGTCCCCTTAAAGGGATCTATAGGGATTCTAAAAAGGGTATAGGGTTTAGGGCCTACTGGGAGGTGCATGGGCATAGTTATGCCTGAATCTTTCAGAAACTTGGTTGAGTGACCGTGTGGTTTAAGGGCTCTAAATATGGAACTAGCTACGACTGCGACTTCTTCTTCTACTACGTGGCATGTTGCCATACATGGGTGCGTGCAAGAATCTGTTCGTGCCGAAGATCGAAACATTCAATGACAAAGATTTCGCACACTTCGGTGTGTGAACAAGCCGGCTCTTCGCAACGCCGCCTGCGCGTGTGAAGGCGCAGAAGACGCCGCCAGGCGGGGATAGCTAGGTGCGTGCATCCTGTCTTTGCAGTACCTGACAGCATTTTGGCAGTGCTATTTGCCATCTCAGTTGCTGTCTAGCGCTGTGGTTTTGCGCTTGGTTTAGGGTTTAGGGCTATATCCCCAAGGCCTACATAACCAACCCAAACTCAAATTCCTGCATGAACCCTACGAGCTCCCAGCACGACATCGTGCGAGTTACATGCAAGGCTTTCGCTTGCACCCCAGCAGCGAGCGAGCCCGCTAGGCTAGATCTTTGACGTCAGCCCAGAATGCGAGCAGAAAGCCCCGACACCCTGCCTGATTAGACCGAAACCCTAAGCTGAAGCCAAAAACCCTGAACCCAAAGCTCTAGACCCCAAAGCCATAAACATCCGACCCTGAATCCCTATCGCTTCTGTCTTGCTGGTGAAGACCAAAGCCCATGGAGCTCGGCAGCCTTATATTCATCTTATACCTACCTTGGCCCTGCTCGGGACCAAAGTATAGATCATTTGGGTACATGGACCCTTGGTGCCAACAAGACGTCTTATCATGCTTTGGGAATTTCCTGAGTTAGGTACATTTCCTTCAGCATCCTTGAACTATTTACGGCTTCTTGTTGGGGTTCAAGAAGCGCTTCCTTCAATTGCGGCATGATGGCTCTCTGGAGTTTGATCCACGCCTTCAACACCATCATCAAATCCGACACAACCCTTGTCACGCTCCAAACCCTAAACCCCTAAACCCCTAAAAGCCCTGAACCCTAAACCCTTGAAAATCCTAAATCCAAGGGGAAAAGGAGGGACCCTTAATAAGGACCCCTGGGTATATCCCATTATAGGGTAGGGGTCCCCATTAAGGGTCCCTCCTTTTCCTCTTTGATTAAAGAAGCCTTAAACCCCTAAAATCCCTGAGCCCTAAACCCTTGAAAATCCTGAAGGAGTTTACAAAAGCGAATCCCACGGTCAGGCCTCGCGAAGCTTGCTGAGAGCGGTGCGCCAGCTCTGTGGCTCGCGCGGCTGGCGCCGGACAGGGTGGGGGGCGGGGCTTTCCAGGGACTCCAGTTTCCCTAAATTTAGGAATACCTGGGGTTCCTTTAAGGGATCTGGCTGTTCCTTGCGAAGTCCCTCTTGCTATGGTTCTCGTAATTTGTTCATTTGAAGGGTTCCTTTCAGGGTTCCTTTGTTCCTCTAAGGGTTGCCGTGAGGGTTCTTTTAAGGGTTCCTTTGATAGGGTTTTGGGGTGGCTGCAGACTGTATAAGTTTGGGACGGTTTGAGCGCCTTACGGGTCTTATAGGGTTTAGGGTTGGGGTGTCTGGTCTATAGGGGCTTAGGACTTATATGGTTTAGGGGTTTCGGGAGGGGATATACCGTAAACCCTCTGAGTACTCATATGAATCCTTTAGGGATCCCCTTTTGGTGGTTTTGGCTTTGGGCTCTCGGGGCTTGGGCTGCTACTGTTGATGTTATAAATCCTGCATTACCCACAATAAGGAATATAACATATTTCCCATAGTCTAGGGTCCTTAAGGTAATGCAGGGTTTATATCATCAACCGTACGGACAGAAGCAGGGGAAGTGGGGCGGGTGCTGCTGTAACAGGAGTTGCTGAAGCTTAGGAACCCAAGGATCCTTCTTGTTTGTGTTGCTTTGGCTTGGTATTTTTGCCGATGACAAACAGCAGTAGTATGACAAACAGCAGCAGCAGCAGCAGCCGTCGTCGTCGTAGTAGTAGTGGTAGTAGCAGTAGCAGTAGCAGCAGCAGCAGCAGCAGCAGTTGCTGTAGTCGTCGTCGTAGTAGTAGTAGTAGTCGTAGTAGTAGTAGTAGTAGTAGTAGTAGTAGTAGTAGTAGTAGTTGTAGTAGTAGTAGTAGTAGTAGTAGTAGTAGTAGTAGTAGTAGTCGTAGTCGTAGTCGTAGTCGTAGTCGTAGTCGTAGTCGTAGTCGTAGTCGTAGTCGTAGTCGTAGTCGTAGTCGTAGTCGTAGTCGTAGTCGTAGTCGTAGTAGTAGCAGCAGTAGCAGTAGCAGTCGTGGTCGCGGTTGCAGTCGCGGTAGCAGTCGCAGTAGCAGTGGCAGTAGCAATCGCAGTCCAAGTGGCATCAGTAGCAGCAGCCTTAGCCGTTGCAGTTGCAGTTGCAGCAGTAGCAGCAGTAGCAGCAGTAGCAGCAGTAGCCGTAGCCGTAGCAGTGGTGGTAGCAGCAGCAGAAGCAGTAGCCGTAGCAGTGGCCATCGCCATAGCCATAGCCGTAGCGGTAGCAACCTTTAGGCCCTGTTTCATACATCGCTTGCAGGAGCCTCCGCCCGATGCCGAGACGTCGGAGGAACCGCCGACGCTGCATGCGGGCCCCCTCAGCTGTCGCAGTTCGCAGTAGCCAAACAGGATTCGGGGTCCTAGGTCCTAGGCCTCGAACCCTAAGCCCTGAGCATGAAACCACAAACCTGCAAGGCTTGATTTTGGGTGCTGGTTTAGGTTTTATAAGTTTAGCATCTAGGGGCATTAGGGCTCGTGCGAGCTTTGGGGTTAGAGTGAAAGTTAGCAAAGCTGGGTTATGTTAGGGGACCCGCCGGCCCCCACATGCCTGTTTGTTGGGATCGGGTTTAGCGACAAGCATGTGGGCCAGGCCAAAACAAAGCTGGAGTCTACGCCTATGCGGACCAAAATAGGGGACCCTAATACAGTACCCTACATAGTAGGATCCTTAATATGAGGACACCAAAATGAGGTACCCGTATGGAACAAGGAAAGGTCGCAGCAGCGAGCCGGGCAGGACTTCGCTGCCTTGAAAAAGCAGCTCGCCAAACTTTGGGACCGAGAGCTGGAGGACGACGCCGCCTCATGGGGTTGAGTACTTGCTCGAGTACTGCATCCAGCTTCAGCACACCGTCGTGGACCAAAGCGAGTATGCAATGGGCAAGGCGAGGCGGACATTGTCATTATACATCCAGGAGAGGACCAGGCCGGGAAGGCTGACGCCGAAGCCCAGTAGAAATGGTTTCCACATCCCCCAGGAGGTGCAGCTCCACTACGTGGCGCGCTACGAGACGCTGAGTCGGTAGATGGAGCTAAAATCGTGTTGGCAGGGGGCAGGGGGTAGGGTTAGGGGTTTAGAGTTTCGGCAGTTTCGGGCAGTTTGGGCTTTCGGGTTCAGCGTTTCGGGGTGTCATGTTCTAGGCTGTAGGGTTTCGGTTTTAAGGTTTACGGTTTTGGGAGGTTCAGGGATTTAGGGTTTCGGGTTCAGAAGACTTTCACACGTCACAGCTCCCGACCGACAGCTGAAACGCCAGCCCTTAGAAGCTTTCGGTATCATGGTTACGTGCTGACAACGCTTCTCGATGACCCTCAAACCGAGCTACAGAACCCTTAAACCCTTCAGTCCACCAGGTTTAAACCCTAGAACTTAGAATTCACTAGAGCCCCTAAAGGAACCCTCAAAAGAGCCGTGAAGGAAAAAGCTTTTGTGCAGCATATACCGAGTAGCAGTGGAATCCCAAAGGCTAACCTGCAAATCCCCTAGGATACTGGACAAGTAAGTATAGAGAGACCTTATAAACGCCTTCATACTGTTGATGGACAAAATCCACATTACCCTAAGGACCCTAAATTATGGGAATTCTGGTATATTCCTTCTTATGGGTAATGCAGGATTTTGTCCAGCAGCCATACATCAGGCCTCAATCGTCTTGTATAGCCTTGTTTGAACCCAATGATACAGGAGCTGTAAAGGAACCCTGGAACCCTTCATAACCCTTATAAGGGAGCCCTCAAGGGGATCCTAAAAGGGGACAGACCTGAGAAGAACCCTTTAGTAGAACCCGTAGCATAGAACTGTCAAAGGAACCTTAACATAGAACACGAAACCCTAGAAAAGAACCCTAGACCACAAACGCTAGAATAGAGCCCTAAACCCCAAAGCTTAAAACAGGGACCCTTAAAAGCACCATTCAAGGAGCCCCTAAACCAATAAATCCTAGACCTAATTAAACCCGAAACCCTAAAGTAGGACCCTTAAAACAACCCTTCAAAGAGCTCTTAAGGGGACCCTGACCGGGACGCTTAAAAAGGGGGCACCTTCAAAGTTCGTTTCGTTTGGCATCCCGAGGTCTCTTCGTCCTGCTGCGGCGCCGGCGTCGTGGGTGTCGGGAGCCATGCGACGGAGAGGTTTAGGGTGTCGAAGTTCGGGGTTTCAGGGTCTAGGGTTTAGGGTTTAGGGTTTAGGGTTTAAGGTTTAGGGTTTAGGGTTTAGGGTTTAGGGTCTAGAGGGTTCGGGGGTTTAGGGTTTACAGGTTCAGAGTTTGGGCTTTGTTGAGGTTTCTGAACAGTTGGGGCCCTGCAAGGGGTTGTGTGAAGGTTCGGGGGGCGGGCGCTGATGAGGCCTCAGGGCTTTTTGGCATCTTGCCTTCGTCGGGCTTTGGATGAAGAGGTGAATAAGTATGACGGACAGGAGGGGTGAGGGTCTTTGTTAGGATCCATACTTTCCGTCTGCTCTTGAAAGGGTCGGACAGGGTTTTACAGCGGGGTAAACGATGATACATAGAGGACTTTGGGTTTACAGGTTGTTACGGTTGGGGATTTAAAAATTACCTTTGATGGCTCAGGGCTGTAGACTTGAAGCCCTAAACCCCAAACCTCAAACTGTAAGCTAAAGCTCCCTATAAACCCTAGGCCCTAAGCCATAAACCCTTAAGATAGAAGCTCTGTGCTTCTCTAGAGGTCGGCGTCACCCTGAACGGTGACGATGCCGGCTTGCTGGGCGAGGCCCGTCTGAAAGCAGCTGGCCAAAATCCCTGCAGTTTACAGTTGAAGAAGCTACGCAGGCTTTCGGATTTCGTAGAGATGTGTCCGGGGTGGTCCATGTGTCGGTACGGCCAGCAGCGAGTCTGTAGGGATTCTGTGGGTCTTGGGCGCTGTCAAATGACTCTCATGTGCTTCTTCAACATCGTGTTTGCCTCTCGGGGTTCGGGATGTAGAGGACGGGCCAGCCTGCGCACTTGGACGACGCGGACGGAGATAGTTACGGCCGATTTGCGTGCATGTCAGAAGCAATTCGTACCACGCATGAAGTTTTGGTCTGGGGGTTTAGGCCCAGGCTTTTTAGGGTAGCAGCGCCCCAGCTGAAAGCTTAACTCCTCGTCTTGCCGTAAAGACCCGCAGCTCTGTATGTTTATCGCCTTCAACTGGCTTTACCCATCGGGACTTTCATACAGAATCCAAATAGTAGGATCGTCTTATTGAGAATCCCTACCTAGTTTTCAAGCACTCACACTCATGGCTTCGGCTCTAGGGTTCAGCATTTCGGCATCTAAGCTGGAACCCGTGTGGAGACAAACACTCCGCTGTCCTTTGAAAAGCTGATCCTGCTAAGCCCCAAAACCTCTCTAAAATCCGCAACAGACCCCATAGGAAGCTCATATGCAGGGCGGCGTACCTTTCTATGTAGTTATCTCATGTCAAGCCACAGTGTCCGGTTTGTTGTTGTAATCCTTCTAGCCGAAAACCCTAAACCCTAAACCCTAAGCTTACACATCCTAATGTAGGAACCTGATTAAGAAATTCTGGCCCTCGAACCTCAATATATTAGGATCCGTATCAAGAACCCTTATAAGGACCCAAGGTTTCGTATTCAGGTTCCTACATCTAACTGTAACCCGAAACCATCCTAAGCCCTAAACCTGCTACCTTTTCGGGCCCGAGAGCAATGCATCCATCGTGCGCCAGGATGGAATGAAAGTGCTGCCCAGCAACTGCAGGCAGTGCACCATAGGCGCGTGGTTTCCAGTGGAAGCCCAAAAGTTGGAAACCCCATAGCCTCAGTTTTTAAGTGTAATGTATAGGGAATCCCAGCACTATTTGGCCTTAATCCGGTTTCCAACTTCATAGGATTTACTATATGATAAGGGGCTTAAATTAAAGATTTACCTATACTATTTTGGGGGGCTCCTTATTACAGTTATAGTAGAATATACACCGAAACCCAACGTTATGGGATTTACTGTATGTTCCTTCGGCTTGGAAGTTGCTTCTTCTTTCGATTTGAACCTATGTTTCAGGGGTTTAGGGTTTGGGGTTCAGGGTTTAGGGTTCAGGGTTTGGGGTTTAGGGTTTAGGGTGTGGGGTTTAGGGTTTAGGGTGTTCGGATTTAAAAGTCCGGAACACCACAGTGCTGAAGCACATCGCCCTCAACTTGGATGAGTTTTTATCTCTACTGCCACTTTTGAGGGGTCGTGCTCTAGCTCCTGCTCTGGCTCTTGCTCCCGCGCTGGCTTTTGCTCCCGCTTCTGCTGCGTCTCTTGCGCCTGCTCCTGCTCTTCCTGTCGCTCCCGCTTTTGCTCCTGCTCTTGCTCTTACTCCCGCTCTTGCTTTTACTTTGCTCTTGCTGCTGCTCTTGCTGCTGCTCTTGCTCTAACTCCTGCTCTTGTTCTTGCTGGTGCTCTCGCTCCTGCAGTGCTCTGAGGGCATTTGGAGCCTCGAAACCCTCAACCATAATTCAGAACAGGTTTTCAAGAGGCAGGGATGATTTCGGGAGGATTCGCCTCAATGTGTTTCTATGATTAAGGGGTGTGTAATAAAAGGGGGGGAAGGGAATATCATGTTAAGCACCACCACGAAGGACATATTCGTATCAATTCCTCACACTTCTGGATGTAGCATTTTTTAACCCTCGACCCCTAAAAGCCGTAAACGCTGCCGTCAATACATGAAGCACGCCCATGCAGGAAGACTATGACAACACAGTTTTCCTCCGACTCAAGGATTACCGGATTTATGGCATGGAATTCTTCAAACTTTGTATACGGGTTTGAAGAATTTGTAGACATATGGTTTAGTTGACCGCTCAAGGACGGTACCGTGCTAAGGACGGTGCTGTGCCATTTCATCTTGCGAACATCAGATTAATTCTAAATCTCGCAAACCCTAAACACGGAAATCTTAAACTCAAAGCGCTGAACCCAAACCCCAAACCCTGAAACCCTGAACTCTAAACTCCCGACACCCCTGAACCCTAAACCCCTCAAACCCTAAACCCCTGGACCCCTAAAGCCCTAAACCCCGAAAGCCCCAAAGCCCCAAAGCCTGGAAGGGCCCAAAACGCCCAAGCCTTGGAGGCCTCACGGGAGTCCCAGCATCGCTGTTGCCGGGTGGTGCCACAGAGTCCGCCCTGCGATTTTTTTTGGGTTTAGGGTTTAGGGGTTCAGGGGTTTAGGGGTTTAGGGGTTTAGGGTTTAGGGTTGAGGTTCGGGTTCTTGGAGTTTCGGGTATGGGGGCAACGGTTTAGGTTTAAAGGGTTAAGGGTTGAGGCTCAGGTTTAGGGTTTAGGGTTTAGAGTTGAGGTT